TGCATTGCACCTAGCGGAGGCTGACCCCTGCGATCACCCCTAATGTGGGTGACTCGAGTACGTAATTTTTTAGTGTGGGGGACTGCGTTCGCGCTCTCCCCTGGTAAATCAATGTCAAAAGAGTTGTACCCGCCATATATCGCCAGCCAAGTACTAAAAACCCGGCCTTATGCGCTATAAGAGTGAATAACGTTATTATGACGTCGTTTTTACTGTCTTCCTTAGATGCAACGTTATTCCTATGTAGGCTTGTGCGGTCTTGTTTTTTAGACAGGAAAATGCCATTTCTGACCGGGTAAGTCGCGAATTTAAATTGTTTTGTCCACTCCAATCTTCCTGTTTGCATTTTTTCGCCATAACAGTGTTTTTGACGTCATAATTGTATAGTTATACAAGAATTAATCTAAGATAACGTTTTTCACGAGATTTGGCTCTTTTTTTATTTGTTCTGACTTGGGGGAAAAGCAAATTTTTTTTGTTTATCGGCAAATATCGACTTGGACCAAAAATTCTAAATCTGGACCGAACACAAAGAAAAATGTACGAGGCACATTTCTTTTGCGAGAGTTCTTATTCAATTTATGCTTAATGCCATTTCGGGTCATAGAGGGTTAATGAAACTCGGTGTTGCACTCTTGTTTATGTTCTGATAATAGTACGTTACGTTTCCCTTGAATCGGAGACTTTTGAACCGTCTGGCCTAAAGAAAATTAAAATTACACAAATGAGTGAGGAATCCAATGCAAGTACTTTCTAAACATTAGGGGAAAATCGAGAAGTTAAGATATAAGAGAATGCGGTCTGTAGCCTCCTTGTTAACGAGGTTATCCTTGAACGCATACATTGAGTATGAGAGATTGTCGTAGGCGACTCTAAAATATTGGACAAGCAAGGCGTTAACTACTGTCGGGATTCACGAATATATCGCATGCTTGTGATTCATCAGGTCTTACCCCAAAAGTTCGCGATGTTGGACGTGCTACAAGAATGGTGCTACAATAATTAAACAGAGGAAAATGGAAACCAATAACCCAGTAAAATACTGGACTACACCAAGAACAGTTTCAAAATTACTCTCAGGTCGAAAATCCCTGTTTCAGGTTTCAGATCGGGAAGACCACAACTGGCAGCAAGTGAGAATGTCTTAATCAATCGCTTTATGATCTGTGATTAAGGTCTATTTCCTAATGTAATTTTTTTTTTTTTTTTTTTTTTTTTTTTTTTTTAAGTCCAAACTAGAGCGGAACATGTATAATTTTCCATTCGCTTATAATGGTGAAAAGTCACGAGGCCCCATCAGCTGATCAAAATTTACATTGGTTTCTATTACGGCCCTAAACATGGATGCCCAATTCTAATGTATAACAATTTTCTACTTAGTTTTTGACATAAATTATAAGGAATAGTTTTATTTTCATTTTTCATTTAATTCACTTCTTTTCGTTTTCAAAATTTCTTTTGGAGTATATTCAATTCGTGATGATGTATAACACTTATTGTATTGGTAGTTTTACTTTTAGATTGCATTCTTCTGATTTTTTAAATTTTAATCTAAACGAACCTTTCCTTAAAAATTTAATTTATATTTGTGTCATGCTATAGACACTCTCAGCAAACTTAATCCGTAGTTTCCGAATCATGTTTGACCTTTCGTTATCTGTCTGAAGCAAATTACAATTTTAGTAATTTTTTTGACAGAAATAATGTCAACGGATTGGATTCTATCTGAACAATCTCAGAAAAGGGGGGCTTACTTGTTCTAAATACACAAGCCTTGATAACAAGATCCGCTGTATTTGAGGTTGTAAGAAGTTTTGAGTTTCGGACTTCATGGGCTTGATAATCCACGAATCAAAATAATATTATATTATGCCGTTTTATTATAAAACCAGCAGATGTCAAGTTCTCGTAGAAATAGGTCACGATTTAAAAGCCTGACCCCATGGCAACCGACAGGGTGATACAGATATAAAATATAAAGTTGTAGATTTTATTTCTATGTAACAACTTAATTTGGAGATAGTTTTCAGTGAAGGATGCGTAAGTTTCCTATATGAGTTCACATGAAAATAGGCGCTATTCACTTTTGTTCCTCATTTCGATTTCAACTGTTGAGTTAGGACCACAGGTAATGGATTTAATGTGACTATCGGGTCGTAACTAGGGTCTATTAGGCAAAAATCCTGTTGTGTTTAAAGTTATGTCTTTCACCTCATTTCCCTTGAAGCGGTTACAGCTCTGAACTATCCGCATTTGCATCTGATTAAAATCGCCGTTGACAAAATGCGTCAGGTCCAGTGAGAAGTATCTGAGCCCCGTCTCCCCTTTGCGTAGTTTAGAGCAAATAATTTAGATGTAATAAAATGCAAGCAGTTTTTCTCCGCTTCATATTTTTTCAGAAGTGATTTTGGGGAAAAGAATTCTTCGTTTAACTCAGAAGATCTTGTTAATACATGAATTTGTTGACCTTTGATAAACCATATTATTATTCAACCTTTTAAATATTTATTAAAATTATTCAGACAAGGTTATTACACTGTATAACATTCTACTAGGTTGCTGGGAGACCAGTTATTTAAAACAAAAACAAAACCAGAGCTATTAAACAAACGTTAAAAGAATTATTTAAAATGTGTTTGCCGTTCAACTCATTAAATCAGAAATAGTACCTCATTTAGCTACAAATTGATTTGGAATTCTTATGATGAGGTAAAATGCTTAACTTTTTACAAGAGTAAGTTAGCCGTTGATTAGTAAACAAAAGGAAATAGTACTGTTCACAACGAAAAGTTGTATTTTTTCACCATCTTTGATCAAACTTTGTAAAGCTGTGTCCGTCGGCGCCAGGGAAACTAGAAAACCTCATTGTTTAGATCGTAAATATTGACATCTGTTTCTAGGATTTTTTAAATTATGATATATTCAGTCGACGTGATGAAAAAAATTCAAAATGGCCAAAAATATGTGATGTAGCTACAATATAGCCTAATTTGAAAACTGCCACGGACATGTTGGTGAAGGTTTTATCGACTAACTTTTATCTCAAAATTGTTAATTATCAGTGGGATGTATTGTTTTGGTCCTGTTGGTCTTTAAATTAATTACATGTAATAAATTACATTTATAAAACAAGGGTTTCTCTTTTTGCGATCTTATCACTTATACTTTGACTGCAATAGTCACCTTTCTTGTATCATAAAAGTTTGTAAATAAAGCGATTTGATTGGATTGTACGCCAGTGATTACAGCCAAACAGAGCCCTCAACGGAAAGACTGTAAACAGTGTGGCTTCGTGTTCACAAATTTTCCGTCGATGTCTCTAATTGGAGGTATTAACTAGCGCACCATCCAATCAAATCGCTTTATTTACAAACTTCCATGATACAAGAAAGGTGACTAATGCAGTCAAGGTATAAGAGCTAACCTCGCAATAGCTTGACATTGTGAAGATGATAAAACTGTTTCAAACCAGAACTCTGAAACTCTGAGTATTTTTTTACAATACATTTACAAGGTCAAAAACGGAGTTTCTGAGATCTTAACACTCTGTTCTTTAGACATTATAACACTTCAAATGTTCTAATTATGATATTACATTACAATATACAGCTTTTCAAAATGATAGACAAACGTTCAGTTAGTCTGTCTGGTTTTGAATCAGTTAAAGAAACAGGAGATGTGACAATTTAATTGTTAATAGAAAATATTATATTATATTATATTATATTATAGTATGCAAAGATGGTAATTTAGTTTTTGGTGGATAACCCGATGCTGAATGGTAAGCAGAATTTTAGTTTCATAAGCTGATAAAGGATATTGGATCAATAGTGTGTCCATGTGGTCAAAGTTGTTACTTAATTCACGTTTTTCTTCATGTGGTCAAAAGGGGATAATTTGACGTAAATTTGGTTTGAAGTTCAAAATCAACTTAATCTACATATTGATCTGTATGTTGACCATTTACTTAACATAAAAAAATCATTTTACTGTTTCTGAATAGAAACATCCCTAGATGTACATAAATAGTTTTGTTTGTGTGTTTTTTGCAAGTGGTGAAAGGGGGATAATTTGAATTTAATTTGGTTTCTCTACCATTTCCTGAACGTGAAAACAACATTTTCCTGTTTATGCATGGAAACCGTGGATGTCTGCGTGCATGTGGTCAAAGGGAGGTAATTTCACAGTAGTGTGGTCCGTATTTGCAATAATAACATGACAATTTCGCCTTCAGATTGAAATGAACACATGTTAATTTTACCATTAGCAATTAGAATGCATATTTGACTCTATATCTGACACTATGAGCATATTGCTTTAGAGAAAAAGAAAAGCTGTGTAACTATTGTTTTCGTATTAAAATTTCTCTGGTTCCTGTTAGTTGTTTTGGTCTACATCTTAAAATTACTAAATTTACTTAATACTAGCCAGCAGACCTCACCTACATGGATAACATCGAAGGCTACCAATTTGCCAGACTCACTGTCAAGTAATGTATAAGTGCTAAATCCAGTACTATCACACCTACCATCTCCAGACAAGGTCAGGGGCTTTCCACACATTTGTCCTTGTACATTTGTCCTGTAACCATGCCTCATTCACAATTTGGAAGAGGCTTGATCGTACTTTGTGATATGTGGAAAGTCCAAAGAAATTCAGGGTCAGTGATTCTGTAAAGCTTGATATCTGAGTCATTGAACAACTGGTATATATATTCCATATTATATTATTATGTACTTGTCAGTTTCAGCAATGTTCCAGTATTTTATTACTGGACCAGCACACTCTTTACAAGTCTGAAATGGTTCCATAAGAGAAAAGTGGGACACAACATAATGTATTTGGGATCTTCATGAGGTTAACCAAATGTTCTGCAATCAGATGTGTTGGTCTCATTACTGCTGTCACTCGAAGTACACATACTACTTTCACTTGGAGATTCAGGCACATACGAAATATCATGTGATGAGGAATGCGAAGATGACTCATTAGTAGATGTACTTATAAAACTGGTGTTTGCTGGTGACTTCATTGGTGTGCTGGTCTTAATAAGGGCAGATTTGGTTGGTGTTGTAGGTGATACTAACTAATCCACCCTGTTAGTTTGGGATGAACAGTAGGAATGAAATTCCATTGAGAGTCCATAAGTAGATGCAAAGATATCATCACATTGAGTGCTAGTATCTTCAACGATAGTAGCTGTTTCAGTGCTAGCATTTGCTGTTATAGAAGATGGTGGGGGAAATACTTGTGGAAAAACAATGAAATCAGTCTGAACAGACATGTCACATTGCACTGCTGGCTCACATGTAAATCCTTGGCCAATTGGCAAGGACTCATTTTCTTGTGAAGATTCTGTTAAGTCATCTTTCAAGTTTGATTCTGAGAGAATTCGATCCACTTCCTGAAAATGAAAATAAAAAAATGAGTGGCAGTAAGTGAAGGAATGGATAACCATCGATCTGTAAAGATTCTATCTGACTAGGAAATTAATAGGGATGAGAGGGGGACAAATAATATATCCTTATATAAAAATAATGAATTTAGGCCTACGACTATGGCATGAGTATGACAAGAAAACATTGCAAGTTTAAAGGCTGTTATTTACTAAGACAAAATTCAGCCTACTTTTAAATTTAAATACAAATATTCAATGACAATAGCTTGATATACTTTTTAAGAAACAGATCTGGTTTGCTATAATAATAGGGATGTAATCATATGGACGTATGAAGTGCGAACTTACGTCTTTTCGATGTTTGGATTGTAGTCTCGACTCTGTGTGTGCTCGCCTTTTACGGGGCTGTGGCTGTTGGTCCATAATTACAGGTCTATTATAGATGGTAGGAACAGCATCTTTATACAATTTACGTGGTCGCTTCAAATTCAATAATTCTGCTTGCGTGTCGATACTCGAATGTTTCGACAGAATGTAATTTTTCCGTCTCAAAAAAATAACTAACACTTTCAGTTTTTCTTGAATCATAGTTACATCCAAAAACTGTGCATTAAACCATGATAGTATCGAAAAATAAAAATATTTTCCGATGATAAACAAAGATATTTCCACTGCGGCAAACTTCTTATCTTCGGTACCGAAAAGCTTTGTTCCATTTTGACGTCACACACAGTTTTAAACGGCCATTCTAGTCTTTAACACAAAAGAGCTTTTAATGGGCAAGTAACTCCGTTTAGACCACGAATTAATTATTTAAATATTAATTTAAAAAAAAACATTTGGTCAAATATTATAGATTTATTATTTTATGACATAGAACATATATATGTTTCACTGACAGTTTTGTTTTACCACCATTTAATGGAACTGTCGAACTTTATTTCAGATTGATTTATTATTTTCAGAATTAGAAAATCAGTTTATCTTCAAATAAAGTAAACACCTGACTGTAAATTATGACAGAGGAACCCGGTGTAGCAGGTATTGTAAATTTCGACAGAGGACTTATAAAGTTTGGATATGATCGAAGGGGAAATTCTTTTCTTAAAGTTACTAGGATAGCATTTTGGGGTTGATTTTAGTCTTGAATATATGTAAATAGTCCTCAGAAGTACTAGAGTTGTACGAAAATCGCATAATTCCGTTAAAAATTATATTAAGTGAACTATATGAATACCCGTTATTAAGAAAACACAAGAGAGCAATTTCATGTCGAGTATAAAATGGAACTTTTCAATATAATTTCAGATTGAATAATTATTTTCAGATTTGGTGAATGGAAGTTTTGTTTATTTTCAAAGAAAGTGAGGATTTGCTTGTTGTTTATGACATGTAAACCTTAGGTACTGCAATAAATTAGACAAAAGTTTGAGCTCTGACAATGAAAAGTTTCTTTTGAAATTTTGAATACTTGTGAAATGTCATCAACCATTTCTTCAGTCTTCATATTCAATTGACTATTTCATACAGACATCATTGCATTACATGTGATCCACTGAAGCTCGTTATTTTATATTTATATTGTGGTTCAAAAGGTAGACACTAGTTTGCTAATTGGAATCAATTATCTAATTTGGATTTGAAAATGAAATAACTTAATGGTCAAAGGGAGATAATTTGCTGAATTTGATTTTAGAAAAAATTGTATAATTTCCTTATCTCTGTAAACCTTAAATTGTATTTGAGAGTAAGCTAATATCATGTTTGTGTGTGTAATTGGTATTGCAGATATATATTTATGAACATATTTCGAGTGTATTTTACAGTTGTACATTAGTTTATAATATCTGGTCTAAGGGAGATAATAATTGATATATTAACACTGAATTTGCACACAGCAACTTCAAGTGGTCTCCAAAGTTGACTTGTTACTAAGCTTTTTGAAAAAAAAAACAGTAGATTTAATTGTGTTATGGGTGTTCCAACTTCTACTGACTGTTCTGTATGAAGCTATTGTCCAGGTATTGTGCTTATAAGGTTGATCAACCCATTCTGCATGTTGAAATTTTAAAGTTTATGTTCTTTTTTACATTTTTAGAAAAGTCATAGATGTATAGAAATTTGGATTTGCCTTGTTACTAAATGTACTTGGTAGTTATGCTGAAGATAATTTAACATCCAACATAAAAGTGAAAAATTCTCTACTCGAGGGTCATCTGAAGGTATCACAAGACATAACACAAGGCTAAACAGCTACGGACTAAACTACTACAGACTATCTACAGCAGGGTTTTTTTCCAACATGAGATGCTTTGTAGTCTACCATAAAATTTTCTTAAGTTATTCTATTTAGTCTAGCTATATTCTCCGATTTGAAAAAGGAAAAATCGCTAGGATTTATAGGGGGAATGGGTTAATGCAATTGATCAAGGATTCTGAAAGGGGTAACAGGTTGCATTTGCCATCACATTTGGACCATTGGAACATTTTATAGAGTATAGGGTATGGAGATTTAGGATTTGATGTTAGGAAAGATACAAACCAAATTCGAGAAGAATCTGTTAATTTTTGACCGAAGATGCAAATATAATTCTATTATTTTAAGGGGATAAACTTTGAGCAATTATTGGTCTACATATTTCTCCATTATAGTAAGATCAGTAAGAATTTGTTTGTTTTGCTCTAATTTTCAATTACTTTCAAAAAGTAATAATAGTGTGAAATGTTTATTTCTTTGTTTGGAGAAATTGAGCAGAAATATAGGGGGAATGTCGTTGATTTCTGCTGAAAATGTAATAGTGATTCCTCTGTATGCTGTCCATTTTTCTTGGTATATATAGTTTTGTTATTTTTCACTTTGGCATGTGTATCATAAATCATTCATTCAAAAAACTCTTTATTTTTTTTAAGAAAAAGAACTGTTTAAAGCATTAAATCTATGAAATTCGACGAATATCCACTTTTTTCAAAGCATGTTCTGTCATGTAGCCTACACTTGAGTTTTTGTTTTGAACGAGGTGGAGGAAAATCGAAGGAAGTAAGCGTAGAAGGTCATGTCAAAGTTAAGTTTTAATGAAAATCAATTAATCTCGAAGAATTTATTTAAACTCAAGCTTATTTGTTTTTGTTTTAAATTTCTATACTGTTTTACAATTCAAAACTAATTTGACTTTGATATTACAGTTTAGTTTTCAATTTGTGGTCAAAGGGAGATAATAATGTATGGTCACAAATTGGGTTACCTCCCTTAGACCATAACCTCATTTCAACTTGCAAAGGACTTTCTTCTGTGTCGTGTCAGTTTAGACAAAATCTTCCTTTCATTTCTCCATTCTTTTGAATAACGGGTTATCAGAGTTTAGTTTCACGCGCATCATCGAAATCGAAATCACTCTTGTCGCATATTTATTCTAGTTGGGAACATATGTGGATGTGCTTTTCATATAAATCATAAAAATACATATTATGTAAATCACCTTAAAGCAAAAATCTTTTGAATTTCCCGACCAAATGATGGAAAGACTAAAAACAACACATAGTAGGGGTGTTTAAATTTTAATTCTTTATTTCAACCAATTACAGAACTTTTCATTGTCACTGTTTGTCGGTATTCTATACAACATCGGTCGCTGAGTCTTGCTTTGCTGTGGTAGGTGGATGCGGCTTTAACCCACAGGGAAAATAAACATTATGCTGCCAATCGCAAACACCGTTTTCTGGGCTGAATATCAAACCTGAATTGAAAACATAAAACACACTGTACAAATAAACAATAAGTTACAAACTGTCTATATAGAGTTGCAATGGCATTCAAGGATAAAAAGACTTTCATTCTTTTACTTAGAGAAGATGTTTAAGATGTTAACTTCAATGAAAAGAGCTTTTTCCAAGACTTAGCAATTAGGAAAGCAAAGGTCTGCCATGAAAGTTCCGCTAACGGTCAACAACAGATTCAGTTTAACGGAAACTGCCGAAGATTACCGAATGTTAGAAAAAAGAACAGTAGTCTACTGCCAACTTTAGCAGAGTTATGACAAAATTATAGAATTATTAGTTTTAGTTTCCCTTTCGTATCATAATTACAGCATTAGAGCCGAACTTCTTAAATGCGTTTTTTGTGTAGTGGACTATTGGAAAAGGCTTGTCCAATTTGGAGATGGTCGTCGACGACAGATTCGCCATTTTTACGGGTAGATTTGAGTAATATATGTAGATAGTCTACAGAAGTACTAGAAAATGTAAGGTATCGCACTTCAACTACTTCAAATATTAGGAACTTCACTTTCTATTTCTATATATATGCGATCTGGACACACATGGATTTGAAGGCTAAGAGAGCTTTGAACACTATGATTGATTAGGTTCGGTACGAAATTCCTTTTTGAGACTAAGCTAGGATTGGTCATACGGATGACGAACCTGCGCTATAAATAAAATAAAAATTAATTCCAATCAACATTTTAGCAAATTTCATATCTATACCAGTATTAAAGCACGTAACAGGCACGAAAAATTACTCATTATATTATAAACGCCATTAACATCTTTCATTTTCTCCGAATATTTTATAGAACACCCTTCGGTGTCATATTAGAAGCACAAGTTAATATTGTTTAACTTGTAGAGATCATTAACGCCATTTAACGCCTGGTTTTTTTTTAACGCAGTACTGAAATAATTAACCCCTTTAACAGCTCGCCTTTTCTATGCAATAATATCAAATAGTTAACAGCTCACAGTTTCTATGCAATACTATATGAAATAATTAACCCATTTATCACCTCAATTCTCTACGCAATAATTGACGGGACAATATACGTCCCTATATTGTGGTTAATACGTCAACAAATCTTTCAGTCAGGAATCCAATCTAACTTCCTTGCCAAGAATACTGATGTGTTCAGTGATTTGCTTGGCAACACATTACTTGATCTGAATGTATTTCGTGATGATTACCTATATAGTAGTGGAGGTTGTCGCGCGAGAGGCAGATCCTACTTTCTCTTTTCGAAATACTTGATAGTACTTCTCTGTTGAGAAGTCCGCTACTACACAACTTTTGCTTTTCAATTTTGCCATCCTTTGGATGGGATTTTATTAACGGAATCGTCTTGCTTTTACGGAATTCAGAAACTTGATAATAACTAAAGTTACCTGCCGGACAATAGTTGTGACCGAGGAAAGTACCACTGTTACATGTATAGTATGAGTGACACCCCATATCAAGATCTGGGTAGTGACCGTCGTCTTTGAGAGTACAATCCATTATATTCCCACAAGGTTTAGGCACAACCTTTGGACTGAAACAAATATACAGTAAAAAAAAATTATACTAAAAAGTGAAACATGTTTTATAGCTCAATAAAGGATATGATCTAAGAAGATATTTTTACTTGCTTTAAGGGACTGGTTCGACATTTTTGGGGGTTAATTTGGGTCTTGGGTTTATGTAAATAATTTTTGACTTTCTTTTTCTATATGTCAGAGTCTCGAGAAAAGAGAGCCGTCAATTCGACTTTTAAACATCGATGATTCTGAGGCTCTAATTTCGACGGTGAGCTGTGAACACTATTACTGATTAGAGTAGCTAAAAAATAAATCTCGTTTCGAAGACTAAGGAGCGATTGGTCCCTTCTTTTTACAAAAATAAAATATTCTCTTACTCATCACAATCTTGTGTTATAGAATTAAAAACCTGACCATTATGACATTCTATGTTATATGCTGTGCCGTTGACACACTTTATAAACGATACGCATCCTTTCTCGTAAATACCATCTCCATCTAAGACGCAGTCTAAAGCATAACTCTTTTCTATGGTAACTGAAAAAATTACAATACAAAATATTGAAGAATTGGGATGGTCAGTCCCACTATATAATTTGCTAGTGTTTTCCTGCTATACTGTCATCGTATCTCTCCTGCTAAATTTTACTGAATTTACCAAATACGCAACATGCAACGAACTATTCCGAATGTGCAAAATATCATTATGAGCCGCAGCAAAAATCCATATAGCATGGATTCCATCGTGACGGAATTTCACATAGCTCTAAAAGTGCACTCAATTAGCCTTTTACCTGAGTTACTAACAGAAATACAATATTTAGATTTAGTACTTCTAATTAAGGAATAATCAAATAATTTGAAAGCCATAACATTTCATTGGTAATTTCGATAATTTTCAGACAATTGTAGTTTAAAGTTGGCGTGACGGAATTACAGCCTATGACAAAATGCACATTCTCATATATTTCTGCTAAATAAGTACCCACTTCATATCATAAGAGTTGTTTATGTCATGTAACACCTCAAATGATCAAAATACCAATGAAACAGGGCAGAAATTCGCTAAAGGTTTTTGACACTAGGCTAAACTTTGCGTGACGGACTTACAATCTGGCTTTGTGACGGAATTACGAGTCAAGAATTTCCGTCACGTTTGTGAAATAAGTTCAGTTCTAACAACTGAGAAACTAGCACAACCAAAATAAATCAGTTGATGATGTTTAATAGATCAAAGCAAATTAACAATACTATTAAAAATTACCAAAATAAATAATAAAGGAGTCAAAACAAATTTGGATTTTGGCGTCAACATATCTAACAGTCCTCACACCTAAAGGGTATTTAAAATTTTATTATGTCATAGCAATTTTAACAAGTTCACTCTTGTTCTTGCAAACACTTTTTACACAGGAATTGGTCGCAATCGTCCAATATACCATTCTGCTGCCCACATGATTCATGAAACCAGGATTGACAGGAGGCGCACATTATCCATTCTTCAGAAATTTTAGGATCCGCTTTATCACCATATTTCCAATTACAAAGTGTGCAATTCCAGTTTTCATCCGATTTCCTACTGACTTCAACTGCTTCCTTTGTGTACTTGGCAGGAACATGCCTTGGGGATGGATCTGTGGTGAAAAACTTCAGCTGAACCATTCCATTCCCAACTGACTGAGCACAATGTGTAGAGATAGTTCCAGGAAATGTTTGTAAACCAGACCATAACGTCTCAACATCCAACATTTTGCATTTTTCTTTGATATCATCTTCGGTCAGTTTTACTACATTGATTGGGGTACCACTGGAACGAAGAGCATTAGCAAATGACTGAGAATCTGATACGACAGCAGAACGTGACATAATCAGTCGATGAACAATACGCTTAGCATTACCACCTATTCCATCATTTGGTCCCTTGCCGTGACTCGTAGCAAAATAGTTCCATCTTATTCTAACAGCATGAAGATCCTGAAGACGTGGCAACAGTGCAAATATATACTTATTCTTGTACTGGCTTGACGGTCCGTCCGTCCAAACATCTACAGTTCTAACAGTAGGGAACTTGTCGGTGATAATATCCAATATTGTGGATGTGAATGCTGCTACAGCCGTTTTCTCGTGGCTTAGAAAATCACTAATAATCACATACGATAACTTCTTGTTTCTGTAAGTGATCATGATGGTATAGATCGTCACCTGTCGCTGCTTCCAATGGGCTGACTGAATTTCATCCTGCCAGATACAAGTGAAGTTTTCAGCGAAGTCCATTTGAAGGAGACATTCTTCAGATGTGTCTTCAGAAGATAATATTTCATGTGCTGGTACGATGATGACTGTTTTTCTTTAATGAAAAGATGCCAGTTGAACTTAGGAAGCTGCATAGCTAATTCTTCAAATGCATCAGTTGAATTGCCAGATTTTTTCACCTTTTGTAAGAATCCATTTGTATCTTCCCATTGGTACCAAGAAAATTCGTTATCTGCTGGAGCTTTATTTTCATATATTTCTTTGAAGAGCTTACCGTCACTACACCTCTCGCAACCATTTCGCATACAATCTTCGTCGTTAATATCGCAGACGCAATGAGCAATAAAATCTTCTTTAGAATATAATGGAATCAAATCAGGATATCTCCGATGCAGTGCTTCTAATAGTAGTATCACATTACTGTGATATTTGCAACCACAGACATTATGCGGCATTTCCGATGACAGAAGAACCCATCGAGGACGAAGAGATGCAAACTTGGATTTACCAATATCAGCAGATGGATTATCTTCAGTAAAGCATTTATATGTCTCTGTAATTGTTGCGACCAGATGTCGTTTTTGCTTTGTATATTTGTTCCCCAACTGATCTTTCAGTGTTATGAAATCGGCTTTTCCAGGCATCATTCTAGATATATTTTCATTTTCGTAAAATGAAATAACGGCTTCTTCTATTTCCTGATTGGTCCTGATCTTCGGTGCTGCTATATATGTTCCTAAAATGTCACAGGCCATTAACTTCACCAGAGATGCTCGTTTGCGTGGACTCTTTGGTAGTGCTTTCATCACGCGGGACTTAGCTTTACACAAAGAGGACAGTGACTTATAGGGCGTTCCACCAACAACTGTCCCATCAACGACTTTAATTTGAGAGTTATTCATCCTATGTTGTCTAACAGCTTCTCTCGTTCGTGTTTGTAAATTTTCCTTCTCCTTTGGCAACATTAATAATTTAGCAAGTTTCTTTCTCTCTCTATCTCGACGTTTATGCTCTTCATAGTCGACTCGATTATATTCCATTTTCAGTTTTTCTCTTCCGCTGCCTTTCTGCTGCAGTCTTGGCCATTCTGGAACAAAAAACCGCACCTTTACTTTAATTTGATTAGATAACAACTTAGTTGGATAACAGATACGTCAAAGCATTTGCGTTACGGAATTACTGTAACTGTAATTCCGTCACGAAAAGAGAAAATGTAATTCCGTCACACGAAAATAAATAGTTTCGTTCATAGCATTGGACAATTAAGAATATTTTCGTAAAACTGGACAGATTATTACATTGAACATGAAATTTGATGACAAATTATAGTGACGGAATTACTGGCGTTAATGAAATTAAGAAACCTGATTTATTTTTGCTTTATCCAATGTTATCAAACATTTGACGAAACACCTATATCCATTCTAGAAAAGCCCATAAAATTTAAAAAACTATGATATACAACATACCTTTGTTGAGTGAAATTAGTTCTAAGAAAAAAGACGTTTAAAATAGGCTAAAATGGCGTAAGCATTTCGCGGGCTTAATAGATTTCCGGTCACGTGACGTCTGCGCGCGCTGATAGCGCCGATGACACGTGGCGGTCAATAAAAAACATGCATAAAAGCCCGCCTAATGTAAATCTAAGAAATTAAACAAAAATTGATAAAGAAATATGAATTTGATAATTTACACTTCGTGTCACGCTTACCGTGGAATTCATGATAGGCTTGTTCTAACAGACAGACAAAATGAACATATTTTTGAAAAAAAATAAATAGCTACCTTTTTGTGCCAAATGTATCTTACATGAAAGACAAAAAGGTAGCCATTTCCTTTTATTCCAAAAATATGTTAAAATTTCATTTTGTCTGTTATAACAAGCCTATATGGATTTTTGCTGCAGATTATAATGGTATTTTGTACATTCGGAATAGTTCGTTGCATGCATTTTGGAATGACCAAAAATAATCAACAAAACATACAGATAATAATAGTAAATATATCTTACCTAAAGCAATTGAAAAAATACAAAACACTAAGCACTTCATTTCTGTTCCAATTCGTGTAAGGTCAATCCTCCTTCTTGAAAAAATACAATGTGACAAACAATATAAAAGTAATACCAGCTATATATCTTTTAAGCATGTTATCTGTATTGACATAGCATTGCTCTAACATTCGGTATATTTACCTATTATAGGCAATAAATAACACAGGGTCCGCATTTCATAGGCAGAGCGATGGTGTTTTAAGGGTGCGGTATAATAAAATTGTCAAAATATATCCACAGTGATTATTTAATGTCTGGATATTTGTTAACATATTACGTAAATCATTGTGTGAGACATTGTTGACGATTGAATTATGTTTGACATACAAAGCATGTGGTTAAAGAATGGTCATTTTGATCTCCGTTTAGTAACATTAACGTTATACAGAAAAATTAAAGGGATCTGTCGTCAGATTTAACGCCTATAGGACTTGTTGAACTCAATTAAAATACACGTGTCACCTCTCTGGGAGTAAATTGACTTCTTGTCTGCCTACAATCAAAGCATCATAATCTAAGTAATGATGACAAATTAATAGTCTTTTGTTTTTCACTTATAATTTAGTATGAAATTATGGACATGATACGTTTGTATTTTCTTGAAACTTTTACCAATTCCATAAAAAAATTGTATTCAAATATGTTAAGTCAAACACTAAGATGATAGAATCATTTTCCATACTTTGCGGATAGCTGATCAGTTGATGAACCGATTACAAATCAGCAGAGGTACAAATCAATTGGCACACGATATAGCCTACTTATGCAGACTGATTGAAATTAGACCATAATTTCGTTCCGGTTTTCATTAGCTTTTATTTTTGATATAGCCACTTCATAAAAAATAAGAGCTAATAAAAAAAAGAAACGAAAGTTTGGTCTAATCTTAACTGGACAGCATACCGACAAATATGGCATAATTGTGTTGTTATAAGGATACAGTATTTAAGCTGAAATAAGAATCTATAATGGTCCCGGATACACATACAATTCTTAGTATCCTTCTTTAGATCTCTTTAAATGGTATGTGGGGGTGAAAAAAATAGATTGAATTTATTACCCATTCCAAATTACATGCTATATATTAGAGATTGTCTTTTCATAGTTATATAATCGTGTTTGAGAACGTAAACTATCACAAAAGACAAATATTTCAAGATGTTCAAATTTGCTGTTTTAACACTGCTCTGCTTGCCTGCAGTTGGTAAGTTATTCAGATATTTGATTTATCATAGTATATTTTGTGTGCACTAATTGAAAGCAAAGTAACACTGACAATATTGTCTTCAGAAAAAAGGGGTCGTATTAATATGTAGTATTGGAAATAAGAAAAAGTGGATATCCGATAATAGTCAAAATAACAGCAAGTGGGTGTCCGATAATAGACGAAATAGAAAATAGTAGGTATCCGATAATAGTCCAAATAGCAACAAGTGAATGTCCGATAAAAGTCAAAATAGCAACAATTGGATATCTGATAATAGTCGAAATATCATACAGTGGATACCCGATAATAGTCGAAATAGCAACAAGCGGTCGTCCGATAATAGTTGATTAAGAGAATGATAACAGTCAAAATAACAATCAAAAGTAGTTAAATTGCCAGTGGCAGTATCAGATGACAGTCAAAAAAGAAATGATAAGTTAGCCAATATGAGTCAAAATATCAATCGGATGCTGTCAAAAAATAGCAACCAGAAGAAAGACGATGGCAGTCAAAATTGGTAACTGAAACTAGACCATATAATCAGGATGATCCGTATTAGACTCTACGTGACAAAATAAGAATAGTGAAACAAAACTTTTGAAATACATTATATTTTGTATTGAATTATCATGTTTGATTAAATATATAAATTGAAATTATATGCAACAAGCCAACTGTCGTATTTTTTTAGTTTCAACATTTGAATGTGAGATTGATGGAATATTTGAAAAGGGGTGTAAATCATTCATCAGGTGTAAAGATGGAGTAGCAGAAACTATTGAGTGTGGGGAAGGATATGTCTTCAACGAAAAAATTGAAGATTGTGATTTGTAAGTTTCCACATATTATATTTCTTGAATACGAAAGTTTCAGTTCAAGATTGCATTTTGTACACAAAAAAAATTAAAAACAATTCTATATCTCTTTTTAATTTCATCGCCGTATTTTGTTATACAAAAACCACACCACAGAAAAATTTCACCCCACCCCAATGTTTCTACTATATTGTCATGTACCACCAAATTAAAAAAATTAACAAATTAAAATTAATAGTGAAATGAAATGAAATGAATGGAGTTTTACGTCCTACTTTTCTGCAAAGACGGTATAGAATAGTGAAGGAGCGCTCAATTTTACTTGAAGCTTATGTATAAGATTACAATTTCTTTTTTTTTCTCTGATATTTTGTGGTCATCTAAAACGTGTTCGACCTTTTTTAACCAATCGAAGCGTTGGGCCCGTTTCTTGCAAACAATGAAACCAAGATTCATTGTTAGCAATAAACGGGTATGTTCAATCATGAAAGTGTTTGATTGGTGTAAAATAACGCCATTAAAACGGGAGTGCTATGGAAAACCTGTGAGACTACAACGGAGACGAAAACTAGAAAAAAATGTTAATGTATTGTTATAAAATCGAGGCTTGCAAAATTTGATATTAACTCAAAGTGTATAATACCGGTCTTATGATACGTTATTTTCAGGATTGAAAATGTGGATGGTATTTGTGGTGAATACATAGATTGTAGTGATAAAGCCAATGGTCACTACCCTGATATGTCGAGTTTCTGTCAGACCTACTACACTTGTCATGAAGGCGCATTCCATGGTCACAATTATTGTCCACAAGGTATCAAACACCTGGGTTAAATACCCCGCACCTCGGTGGGTTCAAGGCCATCTTCACAATGTCAAGCTATAACGAAAAATTTTATTTTTTTTTTAATTTCAAATTCCGTCGCGAGCCATTTTGCAAGCGCTGATGCACCACATTAGAAACCCTGGTTTAAAACATTCATTGCTAGGGACATCCCCGTGAAAACGTCACGTCAACATAACACAACAGTGGTTCACTTAGTCAATATCATTTCGTATGAGACGGTAAATTTTGACCAATCAAAACTTCATACGACGTCGTCCGTGGTTATGTAAATGAAATCCTTGCTAGGTCACTGTCTCTGATGCGAAAAAAACTATGCACAGTGCATCATATTTGCAGAAGTGGTTCGTGGAGACGATAAGCGATATGAAAGGGGCAAATAAACTCGATTTTTTTTTGTCAGGTCTGGTGTATAATGAAGAACTTGGTGTTTGTGATTGGCAGCAGAATACTTATGAACCATGTGGCCTCAAACCGCGACCAACTGAGAAATAAACAAACAAGCTTTTAACTAACTTTTATTTTATCACAGATGCATAACTATTGTTATTTTTTGTAAAGATCTATACTGTGAATAAAAATTTGGACAGTTAGTCCTACTTTTTAAATTTTTATGTGCGACCCCTCTCATTACAAATATATGGGAAGCATGGTAACTACGATTGGTTTCAAAGGGTCATTTAGGGGTGTTGATTTTAATCTTGAATATAATGTAAATAATCTTCAAAGGTACTAGAAATATACGAATAAACGCAAAATTCCTTTAAAAACTAGGAATTTTACTCACTATTTCTATATAAGTCCTTTCTATATATCACAAAGTATCTTCAATTGACGAGTCGTCATTTTAACATTCAATCGCGAATAATTCTGGACAAACATGGATTTGAAGGCTCCAATTTCGACGGTGAGCTGTGAACACTATTACTGATTAGATTAGCTAAAAACAAATTTCTGATACTAAAGTATGATTGGTCAAAAAGTGGCGCAACATTCCTTTTAATAATATGTTTAATATGTATTCCCTTTATCCAAGCACCTGTGAGTGATACGTGATTTTGATCACCAGAAATCAATTATCGCCACAGAAAAGAAAACAGTTTAAAGTTTAAATCATGTCACTTCTAAACGCAATAACAATTTCCATGATATCCATTCATAGTTATCGTATGTATATTGTTAGCACCATTTCCATAATACTAGCATTTAATTAGCACTTTGTCTGTATCAAATTATCACCACCACCAAGTAGAAAGGTCACTGAAGAAAGCATCAGACTCAACAGTTTGTTTTTTACAATTTTCGTTTTCGTGAAATTTCAAGATTTTATAAGCATAGATATCTCGATCGTTCATTTTCGTACAAAGCCAAAGCCGTAATGCCTGTACGAAATAACATGATATGCCATATGGCGACAATTTAGATCTCAGGGAACCGTTTCACTAAAAGTTTTTAAATTTTTTTTAAACTTTTGTAAAACTGGGCCCAGTGCCGTAAATAATTTATAGAGTATAAGAGAATGGGGATGCTTCACGATGCATTTTTCAAAATAGCCCCTTCCCAATTCGGAGGTAATCTATCCCCATTTTGCACATTCTCAATATTCTCACTTTTCTATTTCAACTTCTTTCTAATTCGCATTACACATTTCGTTTCCGTTTCGCTTTTCCCCACTTCACCCCCTCGTTTTCGTCGCACTTTTTTTTGGTCTTTGTTAAAAAATTTGGTCAAATTAAAAATTGCTTTTATTCTGGGTGACATTAAGGCATAACAGAAATTGTAAATGGTATAGTGAAAGGAAAGAATGGGGAGCGCTGAAATGAGTAGGCAATGAAGAATCCTTGTAACTCTCAGAAACTGGAATTGTTTTACCTAAGCTTATTTGAACCTTCAAATCCATGTGTGTCAAGTATTATCCACGTTTTTTTATACGATTTTCACATTTCTAGTATTACTGAAGACTATTTCTATATACGTGTATTACAGACCCAAATCAACCCCAGAAAATGGCGAACCATGGCCTTTATATCGTGATGTTTATATCAACGTGAATTCATAATAATGGACAAGCTATAATCTCATTGGGACAAGTTTTAAATAATATTACAGAACTCTGATAAAGAATGATTTTTATACATTCATTAACTGGCGAACCTGCTAATAAGGCTTATAGTGTACATAGACGTGCATTGACGTATTGACATTGGTTTTGTCTCATTATAGTTCGGCCTGTGAATTAAATTATAGCATGCTTATTAGCACATTTTCTGATAGAACTATATAAATGACTCAATATTTGGATGAAACCTCATAAAAATATTGTCCTAGCTGACTCGGAGACGTGTGGATGTACTAGAAAAGGTTGGTTAACATTTTGCTCTTATTAGGCCAAATGTATTTGTTACCGATGCATTATCAATTTATTATGCCCTTTTGGGTCACATTTATTCATTTGTAATCGATTCATTATCAAATTATGATGCCTTTTCGAGTCAAATTTATTTATTTGTGATCGATTCATTATCAAATTATGATTTTTATGATTTTTACAAATTAAAGTTTTTGTAATCGATATTTGGGTCAAATAATGTTTTGTTTATGGTTTTTTTGAGACAAAATAATTCATTTGTTATTGATATTATTATCAATTATCAATTTTGGATTTTAACTTGAAATTTTGAGTTGCTCATGTAATATTTTGCTTTCCTGGTTATCAACACAAAATTTCAAACTTAAACAGAGAGAAAGAGGGATCAAACCCATATGTACTAGATATGACTCTAGGGTCACAGTACAGTAATTAAATCAAAATTATTATTCTTTTTTTTTAGGAAATCGAAGTTCTCACTATGCAATTCATCGTTAAGACTTCCGTGTTTGTTTTAATTTGTGTCGCAACATTATCATTAGTTCAGTCAACACCTATAAATTCTATAATAGATATCGATCTATTACCAGAAAATGTAGCTTGTTGGTTTATTTGTAACGCTTGTTACGACAGCCAGGTAAGTTATACCTTCTTCTATTCTGCAATTCTCGGCAGTTTCCGTAAAGCTGAATCTACCTACAAGTGAATGGCAGTTTTGGTTCTGTATTCTACGGACATTTAGCAATCCTCGTCAGTTTCTGTAAAGTTGAATATGCCTCGGTAGTGAATTGCAGATTTTGTTGTGTATTCTGCGAGTCTCGTTACTTCCGGCATTTCACTACTAGTTTGTGACGTGATTGTTACATTCCGACGTAAATAATTCCGTAACTGTAGAGCCTGTAGGTGATAATACTGTCAATTACTTGTGTATTTTATGTTATAATGTGACTATTGGCCCAGCAGTTATCATCAGTTTTGTTATCAAGTGCGCCATTTTTAGTGGTTGATTTGAGTCTTGAATATACGTAAAAAGTCTTCAGAAGTACAAGTAATGTACGAAAACATCATAATTCATCCAAACATATCTGAAAATAGGAACGCTATTATTGATTGGCTTAGCTAAGGAAAAATCCCGTTTCTGACACTAAAGTATGATTGGTCATTGGTCAAAAAGGCGCATTTTTCCCTTTAAGACTTTGTTATTGTTGGCTTTGTTCACCAACGCTTGCTGTCCTGAACGATCAGCAAATAAGGTTTGAACTAAGGTTCGCTCTGTTGTCTTGAAATCGTAAGTCTACTATAGCAAAGACTATAAATGAAATGAAATGAATGGAGTTTTACGTCCTACTTTTCTGCACCGCAAAGACTATAAAGCAGAGTTCGTACATACGGCTATGTTCATATTGAAATTTTTAATCAATTTGTCATAATTATGCTTATAAAACGAAACACACTTCTGAAGTATGATTCAATCTTAAATAATATGTTTCTCTTTTTAAATTTCCAGCCCGCCGAAATGATGTATTGTGCCAACCATATTTGTCAAGTCGATTTCATAAACCATATAATTGGATATATGAAAATTGGAAGAGAATGTAGTAATTATGAGCAGTTAATGAAAGATGTTAAAGAAAGAAGGCTTCAGAAGGAACTCAATAAAATTACACTCGGTTCTTCCTCAGAAAAAATGATTCCCGTATCCAATTGAAAAATATTCTATAATCGTTTTTCATCAGTTTTAGATTATTATTGTATGAAATATATCAGATATATAAACGTACCGGAATTTCGAAATATCTTAAAGATGGGTTCCCTTATTTTTAAATGAAAATTCTAATATTTATAGGAATACAAAGTAGAGGTGTTCTAATGACTTGGAAAAGTATCAGTTTGTCTCACGTGTCCATAAATAATTCATAATTAGCTAATTTAGTAGAGTATTACCAGCATAATTCCAATGAGTGACCAATGAAGAAAGGTCAAAAAGTCCAGACTGTACGTACATGGACATTTATGATTTATAATCAAATAGTTTGCTTAATTTGACATTAAAAAAACAAGGAAACCTATCTTTCAGTAATTTTATCTGTATTCTATAAATAATATCTGAAAATATATTCTGTTGAATAGATTATCCGATATTCACGAATTTAAATATATTTGTCGTTAAAAGAAATATCAAACTGTTAATCAGGGAATTTACAATTTATATGATATCATGTTTTTGTTTATTGGAGACGCTTACTTCTCTGGTTTCCTTTGAAACGCCATCCCACATTCCAACACAGTAATTCTATTTACATTATTGTAGAAATTTAATGCAAATATACATTTTTATTACATTTATGATTTATATATGTACAAAGAAAACAGTTAATAAAGATGGAAATAAAATAAATTTAAAAACACTATTTGATTTAGAAACAGGACCGGGGGGTGTGGTTTTTTGTTTTCTAGCATCAGTTATGGTTGAAGTTGAGTTTTCGATAGTCATGGTTTCATTATGATTCAGTTGGTTCAGAGTTTTAAAGAATCCATTGTCTTTAACAAGATGACTAAACTGTTGGAGTGAATGTGGAGGTGTATTTGCGTCTATTGACAAACCTTTGATGTTACAACCATCCATTCTAATTGCTGAAACAAAGATTGTTAATATGGCTAATATGTTAATATGATTGAAAAGGGAAACTTTGATCAAGATTGAAAGAATAAACCCAATGAAAGAGAGGGATTAGGAGCAATACCCGTTTTTGTCTGAGGTTTATGGTTGTTTCAAACAACCAATGAAATGAAGTGTTGATTCAGACATGAGAGAAACGTGTGTCCCAGACAGGACGAATAATGAAATGAAGAGTTGTTTCAGACAGGACGGATAATGAAATGAAGAGTTGTTTCAGACAAGTAATTGTTTCAGACAGGATAGATAATGAAATGACGAGTTGTTTTAGACAGAACAGATAATGAAATGATGAGGGGTTTCAGACAGGATTTCTAAGATGTGGTGAGATATCATCAGCATTGACTTCCTTTGATAATCAATTAGATATTGAAATCTTTAACATAAACCAAGCCCAATGTACACCCCGTTCCCTCTTAACACCTTACACCAAATGTTTTCGTAATTCAGCCAAATGAAGTTAATTGATTCAATCAAACTGTGAAACCTTGGATAGTTTCGCAGGAAGTTCGTTAACAATGGTTAGAAAGAAAGAAAAGAAAGAAACAACAATATTCTACAAGGATAACACCTTAGGTTCACAATTAAGAATCCTTTCTACCAGCTGGTCCTTGCCAAACTTCATGGTCTTGATCTTTTCCAGATTATCTGTGCCTATTTACAGCTGAGTCGACTGGAATTATGAGTGAAGCTGACTTCTTCAAAGTCACCTGATTTTCACACGCCTATCGAGATAGGAACCCACAGCCAGTGGCGTTTCTATTTAGCTGGCCCGGCGTTACCCCACCACTTTCTCGTCTTAACTAAGAAAATGTAAAGAACCAAGACTCAAGTCGACTTTGCTTTAGAACCTCACACTTACCCTTTAAAACTTGGTTAGGGTAAAATAGATATACAAAGAGGTCGTCGTAATGCAAGCGATTAAGTCCTATATCGCCGAGGTATACCATAGGATTGTTATATCTATTCTTTATTAATCTCAAGGTATGTCGTAAATCTATTGAATTTGTATTTATCGAATGTCTGAAATGGAAAACAAAGAATATGATTCTGTGAAGAGCAGCTTACCCATTTTGAATCACTATCAACAAAGCCTTCAAACCAAATAGTCATTTCTAAGCTTTTAAAAATAGTTTGAAGGTTTGGTTGAAATATTAAAGCATTTTTAAAGGTAGTGATTCAAAATGGCTGTGAACCATACGTAGTAGGCCTACCTTTATCAAAATTCGACTTATTAAGTCGTGGAACAGATTTAAAATAGTTGTGAACTACAGTCTAGTGTGTTATTTACATGTAAGAACTATACGTGTGCAGTTCACCGCGTTAGCATTGTGTGTTTTTCGGAGAAAACAAATTCGGATTTCCAATTCTGCGATATAACTATGACATAAATATAACCTGTCGCAATTATCAACATGATGCTTTTCAATGTCCATTTCACAAAGTTTTCACAAAGTATCCTCCTTTCGTCTCCAGATAAATTGGTACATGATGCATTCTAAAGATTCAATCCTTAAAGGATGCATCGGCAACAAAGACTGTTATATCAAACTCTGGTTAATTTCCAATAATATCTTACCCTATCATTGTGTGGTTATAATCAAGAATCATGAAATCAGCAGAACCTTGAAGAGAAAATATTTCAAATATGTTAATGGTACTGCTCTTTTGCACTTTGATCTAAAATACATTTTATCAGATGAAGTTAATTAAAATAGTTTTTTCTCATGTCAGGCAATAAACATAATGTCGTTCTTATACTTACCCTTTGTGTCCGTCTCCACATCTAAAATTCTATTAGTCTTGGCGAATAAAATTTATCATTTTTACTGTATAGTCCATATATGGGAAACGATCTATACTTGGCAAATCACAGGATGATGTAGTTGCCAAATAGAGGATAATGAGTTTTCAATGTCGGGAATATCGCTCTACTTGCTCTACGAAATGAAACAAAACACGATTAAAGTGTCCGTATATTAAAATTCTTACCTTTAATCATTTCACTTTCTTCTAGACTAAATTGCTTTAGGGTCGGCATTTGTTTCATCAACATTTCAGAGTATGCACCAGTCAGAAATATAGGATGTGCTATCCAATCAAACCTTGTAGCTACTTTGATATCTCGTTGTCTCAATGATCTGGGGTCAAATGGATCGTCAGGTTCATACCATTGAGATTTGAGTCCAATACCAATTTGACCTGAAAAAATAGATTTAATTAGTTAGCCATTGTCATACCAATCTTATTAAAATTAGATTAAAATTGCGTTTTTTCCCTGATATTTTTCGTCTGACATTAGTTTTAAAGGGGAACAGTCGGCATTTTCAGGGATTGATTTGGGTCTTTATTGTGCTTTAATAGCCTTAAGAAGTACTAAAACGCACGAAAATCGCATAATCTCTTCAAATATACCTCAAACTATTTCTATTTCTATATATTTGTTTTTTATATATGGCATAGCCTCACTAAAATTCGAGTCTAATTGAAGGCTCAAATTTCGACGATGAGCTGTGAACACTATTATTGATTATGTAATCTAAAAGAAATTGGTCGAGCGGATAGTGAAGGTGCTCTTTTAACCAGCGTGGCCAGTTTCTAAATAAAAATGACAACAAAACAACCAAAGGTAGAGCAATTTAGGTTTCGTTATCTCAGAATTCATTTTCGTAATCTTGAAACGATCCTTAATCTTTGATTGGTTAAAAATAACATCATTAGAACGGGACTGTGGTAGAAAACTTGCTAGATCAAAACGGAGGCGAAACATATCAGGAAGTAAACGACACAATTTTATTAGAGTGATGCTATACCCAACATATGCCCTTTTGCCCATGAGCGGAATCCCTATTCAATGCCATTGTTTATCTAAAAACCAGAATTATCAATATCATTGAGTTATGAGGACATTCAATTTCATCATTATGAAAAATAATATGTATAATAAAAAGTATTGTTGACAAAAACACGTATATATGTTTCCGAAAAATTGAGCATGCTGTCAATTTTGCTATGCTGGAGGGAGTAAGTAACGCGATGCTCGGTCCTTAAAGATGGGTTCTCTATTTTCATTTAAGAAAATAAAAAAAACTAATACTTATATGAAAAGAAAGTAGAGGTGTTCTAATGACCTGGAAAAATACCAGTTTGTCTCACATGTCCATAATTAATTCATAATCAGCTAAATTAGAAGGGAATTACCAGCAGAATTCCAATGAGTGACCGATCAAGAAAGGTAAAAAAGTATTTTTTTGTTTATCCAGACTGTACATACATGGGCATTTATGAGTGGTTAAAACTCTTTATTATATGCAAGAAGAACATAATGATATTATTAAGAATACATGATAATTCATGAGAAACACCAATTAATCAATTATTTTGACACTTAAAATAAGGAAACCCATCTTTAAGGGTATGACCGTGTTATTTTAGAGTAACAAGGATAGATAAGCGTTAAACCAATAAATTTTCAAAGTTCATGACATTAATGGGTGGATTATATTACATATCTATTTCACTAAGATAATAACCTCGTACAAGATACCGAGGAATGCTCTTTTTTTACCTTTTTGTTTTGGCTGAAACTGTTGTCTATATATATGTACTATCTTTGCGTGGGTTAATATCATTTTGTGTATTATTTCGGGATCATCAATATCATTGCTGTTTATTGGATTCCTGAATGTTATCCATGACTTTACCTAGAAATATTAAAGTGTCAAGTCAAGAAGGAAAATTACTTACTCCAGAACGTTTTTGTGTAAAGCATGACGCTATTTTTAGATCTACATGAAGTGTTGTCTGAATGAGAACTTGGATCTCGGTGGGTTCAATTAAAAAAAAAGCGAATGAAGATATACATGTAATAATTTTACGGGGCTTTGTCCCACATTTGTTGATTAAACGTGTTTGACCCAGACAAAAAACTAAAGCTTACCAATATTTTATACCTGTAAATGCGCACTAAATTAAACAATCGCACGATACCTGATACATAAATTTACAACATAGTGACCACAGTGCAAAGCTTTTTCGGAGGGGTTGGGGATGCCCTTTAACCATTAATAAAAAAAAAAGTAATTATTGAAAATCTTTACTTACCCTGTCGCCAAAATGTTCAAAGCAAATCTTGGCATAGATTTCAAAATCATTCAAATTTGAGTTAGTTAGATCCAGGGAAACAATTGGCCTGACGCCAACATCTAATATGTCATCTAAAACAGTGTTATAATATTGTATGCCAATCTGATCCTGTGCTTTCTCATTTTTCATGATCTTCGAATAAGACAGGCTGAATATGAAGTAATCCCCCTGAAAATAATATCAAGACGTATTTAAACAGTTTATAGACAAAAAAGTCAAATTCTGACAATATAAATACTATTTCATGAGGTTCTAAAAAAGAAATATGTCTCGTTTAAGCTTAATTCATAACATTCTTCTGTTCACTCATGTCCAGGAGCAACATGTTCGTCTGATATAAATTCTACTAATATTTCATCAAGATTCTTTGGAATTTACGAGAATGGTGACATTTCTCCATTCTCCATTCTTTGATCTCACTCACAAAAATAGGTCGTAAAACTCCATTCACTTCATTGTATTGATCAAAACAAGTCACAGATAATTGTGGTATCGTTCGATATATAGAATAAATATATTAAATTTGTTTTGGCATTGAGTAAGGATCCATGTAAATTTTTAAGAACCTTTTTAAAAAGCCTTAAAGGATCATATACCTACAATTATTTTCTGTAAATTTTGTATTTGACTCAGATAATCCTGACCAGTAACGAGTTCTGGGGTTGAGATTCCCCACGAAAAATCATCAGGGAATTCACCCATGTATAACTTTTCCTTGTATGGTAATTGAGGAGGTGTTGGATCAATTTCAGATCCCGGTTCGAAACCATTATCTTTGATCAATTTATAATAAAATGCAGCAGATGCTTTTGCTTTCCTTGGCCTGGCTGGATCAGTGAAATCTACTTGATATAGTCCAAACTTTTGAGATGTTCCACTTCTCCATTCAAAGTTATCTAATAATGACCAAGCCATATATCCCTTGACGTTTATTTTATCCAAGTCTATGGCTGAAATCAAAAATTAAAAATTAGATTCTCAATAGGTCATACCCATCATGCCTTATGCCTAGACTGCAATCGCCCACTTTCTTGTTTCTCGGTCAGCAGTAAATTTACTATCTATGACAAATTAACTATCTGAAACATTTACATTGGGTCGCTTGGTATACGGAACAGAATGGGAAGACGCAAACCTTTCATTTTTGGCAATTTTTACTACTATGGGCTCGGCGTACTGGTCATTAGCTCGTAAATGATCGATTATAGTTTGTGTCAGAATACATATGCGAGAGCTTTGATACTAAGAAACATATTTGACGCCACATTTTTTTAATACAATGAGTATATAATATTTTATACCTTTCAAGACCTCGTTGAGATATAGGGTGTAAAACTCAACTCTATCCGTATCATTTCTCTCTCCAGACAAATCACTATAACCGTTTTCAGTTATATAAATCTCCTCATTACCAAAGTTAATCTTGGCCCAGTTCAACAACTTTCTAATAGCAAATGGTGTTACTGCTAACCAGGTTGCTGATGCCCTTGAAAGGTAAAAATGGTCTTTGAAGGTTAAGCATTTGGCTATGAAACCGACAATTTTCTGAACCAAGAATGAGATCGTATTCGATATGTATGTCAAAGATTGTTCCTGTGGATTCATAATTCATTCCTTGTCTGTGAATGAATATCTCGGATTCTTTATGCTTAGCATTATTCTAATCTGAGGTATGATGTTCAGAAGGTATCTGGATGCCATTTGTCTGCCATTCGCTTAAAGAAGGATAACAGTTTAGTGTTAAACACATTCTTTCAATGCAAATTGAAACTCCGAGGGGTTTTTCTAAAATTAGCAACAGAATGCTCATGGTGACTTCGATTGAACCTCTGTGGTCGAGCTAGAGTTGATGGAGAAATGACGTAATTATCTTCAGCGAGCAAGCCGAGTGAGGGTCGCAACTGAATTTGATCGATCTAAGGCAATATGGCGGGACTTTTGACCATATATATGTTACAGTTAATCTGTGAAATCAGCCCTTCCATGGAATGCCTGAAATTTTTAGCCTTTTCATGAAATGAAATATAGACATTCCATTCTACGATGTTAACTCGTGTTTGACTCTCCAAATAGTGAGTGTCGGACCAGAGCTTCTAACTGGGTAAAATATTGCGTCACACGAGTCTCAACTCTACAAAATATTACAGTTCGGTTGTGACTCGAATGACTCGAGTTTAACCCGGGCTCCAATCGAAGTCACCCATAATGCACAGAATGTACTAAAGGGGGAGTACTCTAATTGGAAAAATGGAACACTTAAAAATATGCTCTCAGCTCTTCTGCACGAATTACGCCTTTTGTATGCTTTTATACAAACCTTTTCCACGACGGATCTTTTGACCCAGTGATTCCAATATCTCTACCGTAGTCAGGTTTCAGTTTTCCAGCATCATTAGATGATTTAGTGACCATATCAGTTGAATACAAGTTTAATCCAATGAAATCATGACTACCTGCAAACAAATCAAGGACCATCGTGTATGTTGATGTTTGTAAACATCGTAAAAGATACCTTCCCAACCGGTGTTTGCTCTTGTTAAAGAAATTCATGCATTTTTCAAGGTTTAGTCGAAGACAAGCTATTTGAACCATGACCAGAATGTGAAGAAAAAAATAAAATTGTTTTATAAACAGTGACATTATATAAAGTCATTTCATTTAGAAAAATTTCAGACAATCCAGTACACTGGAGTCATTAATCTTTGGATTCGTCCATGACAACTAATGCCTCAAATAGTTCTCCGAAATACTACAACACAAACATATCATCAAGAGTGGCAAATTCATTTAGTTGACCTTCATATACAAACCATTTATCATAGATTTTTCTTTATCAGTAAACGTTGGCAGGCGAGATTCATTGAAGCCTTGTTTCCTGCTTATTTGACCTACTCTTTCCTTCATGATATCTGGATAATCTCCGTCCACATACACTGGATGACCAAACCAACCATATACAAACTGCATGGTCCAATCAGAAGCCTCGTAATCTGATAGACTTACAGGATTTAATGGTTCAGCCCAATTGCCATTTAATGTAATGCTTATTTTACCTGGAAAAGCAATAGCGAAGAAAAGTCAATACTATTTCATTTAAGACACTTAAAATGCTGTTCTGTGTTTGTTGATTGAAGATCACGAATATGCATATTTTGAAAGTCATGAAGACTTTCTATTCTCAAGATTTTATTACAGTGTAACAATTGATCATAGGAAGCCCCGCTGGTTTGATCCCCCGATTGCACCCCATTTTATTTTTAAAAAATTTAAAATTAAAAATCTTTTGTCCCAAAATATGTATCTGAATGAACTAAATCCATTCTTTTTTTCAATCCTTTTGTTGCGGAATAACACTCTCACACGTCCCGTTGGAGGCTTGCTCCTATGCCGCTTCCACAGAGCTTCTGCATTTTTAAATCTCAATCTCGACAGTTGTCCCCAGTTTAGTCGGTGTTCCCCCTTTTATACCCACAGTTACTGACATTCATTTTCAAACTGATCATAAATATGGACTAGCAGAGCTCTTCAACTTACCATGCTGCTTAGATGCATACGACTTATGATATGATCGGTACGCTTTAGCATGAGATATAATTACATTGTGTGCTTTCTGATACTGTACTTGACCATCTTGACCACGTAGATCAAAATCACCAGTAGTAAACACTTGCGGTTCATTGAAAGTTATCCATATTTTAACCTGTTTCAAAACACGAAAAGGTAAAATTTAACTATTAGTATGGGTTATGGCAAAGTTTAAATCTATCTCTATATCGTCAACCACTGTTTTATTTTCGCCAATCCTTGAAAATAAAAAAAAACTAGCAGCTCATATAATAATGATAATAATAATAATGCATATGTATAGCGCCTAATTTCTAGAAAAATTCTACTCAGTGGCGCTGAGAGTCTAGCAAATATTTCCTCATCGTACAATACATGACGTTGCTCGTTCTTTACTTGTCCAATGTGGAAAAGAAAATGTCATGACTTAATTTCAGAAACATATAGATAAGTAAGAAAAGTTAATTACCCATTGACCAAATTCTTCAAAACACAGATTGGCATAATCAACGAAAGCGTCTTGTATGAATGTTTTAGTCCAACCTCCACGATCTGATAGTGCTTGTGGTAGATCCCAATGGTATAGTGTAACTATCGGTGGTATACCATTCTTATCTAATTCTTTCAATAAGTTCTTATAATAATCTATACCAAGCTGATTTCTAGAGCTCTTTGTACCATCTGATAAAACTCTTGACCATGATATTGAAAACCTGTAGTGACTCAACTGCAAGATAAAAGCAAAAAAAAAATCATGTAAAAAAGATCGCCATTTCCCGAAATACGTTATTTAATCATGTCCACGAACTCACTTTGCTGATTGCCACCATAATTTCGCATTAGTGTCTATTGTTTCAGGAGGATTTCATAAACAAACATTACTAACTTACCCCTAAATCTACCATTTTCTGAACATCATCTTTATATAAATGATAACTATCACAGGCTATTTTACCAGTTTCACCATTATTGGCCAATCCTTTACTCGTCAATGTGTCCCAAATACTGGGTCCTTTACCTAGGATGGCGATTACAATATTATTTCATTTTATGTTTAACATCTAATGCCTAATACAAACAACCATCAATATTCTTTCGTGAAATATTTGCGTATCACGATGGAAATGATTTGTATGTCATTTTGCAATATTTGCAAACGTTACAACTGTAGCTAGAGTCGCGACCAAGGGTTGCACACCACTTTTCATAATTAACTTAGATCTCAGCAGCTACTACAGTTGCATGTATCAAAAAAAAAATATATCAATCTATTCCTACCGGCAAAATGTTTCTAGCGTTTTCACATTCAAATTTTACATTTTTTTGTTGCAAGGGGCATTATGAATTCGAGTAAGAACTTAACTGAGAATGAGAAATGTTCAGGTCTCTGACAAGCTTTGAATAGTTTTATTTGATCGTGTTTTTCTCTTTGCCTTTTGTCCGAAAGATTGTTCCCTACCAGGAAGCAGATTGTTGCAAAGTAGCAGTTTCTGTTGTCGGAATTTCAGATATCTTTTATTTTTTTGCTCAAAAATCAGTCAGTATATCAAAAGTTGAATTAAATCAGTTAACAAAAAGACTGAAACGTCACTTACCGTCAGCATTCCAACCACCTTCAATCTGATAAGCAGATGTAGCAACTCCCCAAGCGAAATCTTTAGGGAATGTACCATAGTAGAATTCGTTCTCCTTTTGGACCGCCAAACCTCTTCCTCCTATTGCTGTATAGCCCCTCTTGAAACCATTTTCTGACGTCAATTGAGAAAACCACCTAGCAGAAAGCTTAGCACTTCGAGGTCTTGATGGATCGCTCATGTTGACGTACACCAGGCCAAACCTCTCTGTATAACCTCTTGCCCACTCAAAATTGTCCATTAAAGACCAGGGAGTATAGCCAATTACATTCACCTTGTCAATTTTGATAGCTGAAGAATCAAAAGATTGCAATTTGAGCATTGAACCTCTAAAGGACTTCAGTGCAGTTGTTCTTTCAGGTGGATCTCTTATTTAAACAGAGACAGCGTCAAGGAGGCGAGTCACATCCATAAGAAATTAATGTTTAGTTTCCATTAATAAGATTTAGAAGGTTTGGCCTTCTCTAATTTACATCAAAGTACATTACGACGGAAGGCTAAAATTGACCAAACAAACAGGTTCGATTTACCTTTCAAAATTTCATTGGTATACGATCGTAAATAATGAACTCTATCTGTATCATAAAGGGTTCCTGTGGAGTCTGATACGCCATTTTCAGTCACAAAGATACCAATATCACCATACTTTCTTCTCACTCTATTTAACATCTTTCTAATAGCAAATGGTGTTACTTTCAACCAAGAGGACGCTGATCTAAACAGAAAAACCCATTTAACAGATTAAAATACATATGGATTCTTGCGCAAATGACTTATGTCCATATTATGATCTCACGCATTTATATTGCATAGTTATGCGAGGTTAAAGATAGGTTTCCTTATTTTCTAATGTCTCAAATTAAGCAAACTTTTTGATTAATTGATGTTTCCTATATATTATCATATATTCTGTATCATATATTTATTTTCTTATAAATAAGAGTTTTAACCAATCATAAATGTCCATGTAATTACAGTCTGGATAAACAATAAAAGACTTTTTGACCTTTCTTGATCGGTCACTCATTGGTATTTTGCTGGTAATTCATTCTAATTTAGCTGATTATGAATTAATTATGGATATGTGAGACAAACTTTTGGAGGCGATATTTGTAGACAAAAAGTAATTAAATTTGCGCTGTTCAATATTTATAATTCGGAGGGGCGTTGAATTGTGTTCTAAATAAAATAATTTTATTTAAAAGTGCACTGTACCGACATCATGAAGAGGTTAATGTAATTCGATTCCTGGTTATAGACTAGCTAGATAAATAAACTCGCATCTTCCACTAGACTAATCAATATTCCTTAAAGGGATTGTAAAGATTTGTCTGTGGTTCCTGCATTTCCACTGAAGCTAAGTGTTTGATAACGTCACTAATCGCGAAGGGCCTGATGTGATAAAGCATATTTTTCGATTAGTGACGTCATTAAAGACTTAAATACTATCAGTGTCCCCAATACACATACAATATCTTTACAATGTCTTTAAAATCGAAAAATAACAAACCCTTTCCATCGAGGATCTGTTTCAGATAGAGCGTTAGCTTCCGATTTACCACTGGGGTCATTAGTTGCCAAACTAGCTGTATAAAAATTCATTCCAAAGAAATCAGCACTGCCTGAAAAAAAATATTATCCATTTATTTAGGAGATTTCCTTCGGCAATGGGGGACATTTTGCGGGGATAGTGGCGTTAACCTGTTCTTTTGATTTGAAATCAAACATCCATGATCTTTGCCAGGAAATATACATGACCACGTTAATGATATATCATACCTTTAAGCATCTTGATTTCATCAGGAGTAAAGGCTGGAAGTTTATTTGGGACGCCTTCAGCTTTGGATTTCTCAGCTACAAGTCTTTTGACAACCTCTGGGTAGTCCCCTGACCCATAAATAGGATTTTCATATATACCACCAGTAAATTCCATACTTCTGTCAGCGGCCTGAACATCGGAATCATCTAATGGATTCTTCGGTTGAGCCCAATTCAAACTGAGAACAATGCTGACTTTACCTGATATTCAAAATCAAATTATTTATTTCCAATTTTTCTAGACGTTGACATTAATTCTAATAAATGAAATAAAATTACTGATTCACTGAGATTCACAGTCAAATTTGTAGGAATCTGTTATCAGCAGAATAATTCAATCAATGCCCAGTAAAATTCCAACCAATTCTACCTCTTCTCAAAGACAGCCTATTCACTAGCTAATTCAATAACTACGCTTTAATTAACCTTAAATTAACGGCCAACATCAAAGATTTGAATGGGATTGTATCAAACAAAATCAACTTATTGTTTTTGTACCAAAGACATCAAAAACAAAGTATACAGATATAAGCGAAAAGAATGGCGTTAATGTACCTTTGGTGCTTTACCATCACTGATAATATTCATGAAATTGTAAATATATTAGTTAAACAACTATTCAAACCTTTTTGTGTTTTCTTAAAATCTTTTTCATATAACCGATAAGCTCTACCATGAGCTCTTATTAAATTATAGTCTACGTGGTAGCGAGCTTTTAAGCCTCCTTTCATACCAGGGGCCATTACACCAACTTGATAACCTATCACAGATATCGAGCTCGGTTCATTTATTGTCATCCAGTATTTTACCTTCAATAAAGTAAATCGTTAATGATGAACTTAAGTGACATATGTATCAGTCATATATCAAACTTGGTCAACTAGACTGTGTATATATTCATCAGTTAGACTTACAAGGCGTCATGACTAAAGAATAGAATATCTATATAAGACGATATATCCATTACATAATTATTGAAACATGCTTCTAAGCGTCTAATATGAGCGACAAAAACCATTCATCACAAAGTACAAAACAAAATTTGAGCTTACCCTATCACCAAATTTTTCGAAACAAATCTTTGCGTAGTCATTAAACCAATCTGGAATGGAATCGTTTAGCCAACCACCTTTCAGTTGTAACGCGTGAGGTAAATCCCAATGATACAGAGATGCCATCGGTTGTATACCATTAGCCAGGAGATCGTCGATGAGTTTATTATAGTAGTCTATTCCTTTTTGATTGGTGTGATCTGGTGTTCCATTAGGTAGAATACGGGGCCATGAGATTGAAAATCGATAATATGACACCTGGAATTAAAAACCACACTCGTTATTCAATTTTGTTTTCTATTTGAACACATATGACTTGCAGTACAAATAGAGGAAAGATTTGGTGCAACAAGCATTTAGTTTTAGTAGAATTGCGGGATCACAGACGTCTGATTGAAAATTGGAATGGTGCAAATTAATGCTCTGTGTCCCCGATACACATAAACAATTTAGAAAACCTCTTCATCCGATGTACAACGCTTCCAAAGTGTACATTATACCTTTTAGTATTTTGTTTATCACTTTTAGGTATATAGAACATGAACCTAGAGCCTACCCCTAACTCTTTTAACAGCTTAACATCTTCTTTATATCTATGGTAGCTATCACAAGCTATATCTCCTGTAGAATTATCAACAATGTGGCCTTGTTCATGACTAAACACATCCCATATACTCAGACCCTTTCCTAAAAGGAAAAAAAGACAATTAAGTATATTTGGCAGTACATATCTATCCTATCATCGATATACGATTGACGTGTTTTATATGTTTTATTTATATTTCAACTCGATTTAGGTACATTCAATTTATGTTAAACGGACATTCCGCTTTTTTGTAGGTCGAAAATTTGTTTTTCTCAAATTTATGAAAACTATACACCAAAATCTGGAGAAACGTGTCCCTTAAATCTCAAAGTTGCAACCAAAAAAATCCAAAGCCTTATTGTAGAGAAAAATTTGCTCCTACGTATTCTTAAGGTTTCAACTAATGATATTGAGCCAGCAAAACATCTAGGTCAAGCTGCTTAATTAACAATTAGTACTCTCAGTTTTTAATTAACCGTTTTAAAACAAATTCAGTTTGATCAAGTAGATACATAGATATAAAGAGCATACTTTAGAAATATTTTCAGGTATATTTTACGATGTATTTGATAATGAAAATATTTCAAAAAGCGGAATATCCCTTTAAAACAAAGTGGACAATATTAGGATCAGAATTAAATTCTTCGTGTTGGGCCGCTTCAAAACATCAAGAGTCGCATATGAATACAAAAGTTGAATTAGTCTATTCGCTTTTGATGTTGGTTTATTGGTCACAGTAAATTTGGTACCGGAATTTTTGTTACAGAGGAAATTAGTCACAGTAAATTGGTCACAAGGTGAATTGGTCACAGTAGTATGGTCATTTGGTCCAAAGTTGTGACTAAATTGCCTCGTGGTCAAATTAGAGCCATATCACTGGGACAAATTTACCTCGTGACTAGCTTGCTGTGACCAATTTACTGTATGCCCAAATTATTGTGACCAATTTACTTTAATCATTTCACATTCATACGCTGATATCTGTGACTTACCCCCTTCGTTCCAACCACCTTCAATTTGGTAAGCTGCGGTAGCGGTTGACCATTTAAAATCTTTAGGAAAGTCGTCATACAGAAACTCATTCTCGTATGGTACTAAACCAGTAGCCATACCACTTAGCCCAGGATAGCCTGGTTTAAACCCATTGTCCTTAGTAATCTGTCTAAAGTATCTTGAGGAAGCTTTAGGAGTCCTTGGTCTGTCTGGTTTGGTAAAGTCTGTTCTGTACATGCCGAACTTCTCTGTTGTACCTCGTGACCACTCTACATTATCCATTAATGACCAGGCGAAATAACCCTTGACATTACATTTGTCGATCTTAACCGCTAAAAGAACAGAATGATGCTGTTTAGTCTGTCATTACTTTATTGACCGTTGATAAGTTGATGCCGTGGACATAATTATATACAGTGGAGCCACGTTTATCCGGTTGCCGAAAATTCGGAAACCCCGATATCCGCACGCTTTTTACTGGGAGCGGAATATTTACTATGTTAAAGTAACCGTTAATCCGATGATATATTAGTATATTAATATTTAAGTAGATAAAGGGATTGTAAAGATGTTTTCTAATAATTTATGTGTATTCCTGCAATTCCACTTAAACTAGGCGTTTAAAAACGTAAAAAATCGCAAAGAGCCTTTTGCGATAGAGCATATTTTGCTATTAGTGCCGTCATCAAACACTTAGATTAAGTGAAATTGCAGGAACCAGTGACGTCTGACTGAAAATTGGAATGGTGCAAATAGATGCTATTAGTGTCCCTGATATACATAAAAAAATAGAAAACCTCTGTACAATCCCTTTAAAGATTTTGCAAATGTGATGTTTGAAGAATCCAATTTTCAAATTTTTAAATTAAAAGCAAACCATGTCGTTTCTTTTTTTACAAACTTGTTCCTTTTGTGATTATTGAGAAACATTGCCCATATAGTATCAATAAAAGCAGCGCAATTGTAGAAGAGATGCCATTTTTTTGCTACCAGCTTGTTCCTTTCGTCATAATTGAGTATCAATTTGAAATTTCAATGTACCATAACAAAACTGTATAGTGTATATCTATCGCATTTATCATGGATGGAAACTAATGACGTCATATTCTTCTGATTATTTTTCCTGTAAAATCAAACCGTACCTTTCAACATCTCATTGATATAGTCTCTATAGTAGTTGATTCTATTCTGATCATACAGGGTATCATTTCTGTCTGACACCCCATTTTCTGTGGAATAAACAGGGATGTTATTGTACTTCTTCTTTAGCCAGTTTAATGCCGCTCTAAAACCTTTAGGATACACCCTCAACCAACTCGAACCAGATCTAAAGAGGGTAAAAACCAAACTGAATTAAGATTATTCACCTCAGGCTCGTAGCTACAGAGGGGCAAGGGTGTAAATACCCCCCCCCCCCTCCCCTCCCACCCCCAAATGACCAATTCCATTAATGAAATTTAACGCTATAACCTACAGCCCCTCCAGATATATTACTTGCCCCTCCGAATAGCTAGGAGCCTGATTTACCTGTGGCAAATCAACGCAACAAACAACATTAAGTGTGTTCCCGACATCTGTATCGCCTGTTGGAAAAAAAAACTATCCGTATAAGTGGCAAACATATTCCGGTTTTTGTAATGATTTATGAATATAAAGATGTTACCTTGGCCATTCAGGATCGGGAAACGTTTTAACATCTGAATCATCAAAAAAGCTAGGAGGATCTGCTGGTAAATTCATGGCGGTGGCATAGACAGAGGTATAATGGTTTAAACCTAAGAAGTCGGCTGTACCTGGAATTGGAATTAAGCTTCGAAATGTGCTAAAAATAATCAACATAATTTGACTACCTATCGATTCTATGAATTCTATGTAAATGCGAGTAGGGGCCACATAATTACCATAGGAGGGAAGGGTGGCCGGTCGTAGGCCCAATCATTCTGTTCCTTATATATATAGTGATACGACTTTGGGAGGGGGGGAGGGTCAAAGCCGTACCGGCCTCTTTTATGGAAGAGCTACAGTAACACCACTGGCAGTGAAATTCAAACATGTACAAAATATTACCTATAACATGATCTGATTCAAATGTGGGTCTGTTTGGTTTCATATCATTTTATGAGCTACTTTTATATCAATCAATGATCTGACGAAATACCTCTTTAACTAGCGTTCATTATAATTTCGACCTTATATCTTCATAATTCCATACCATCCTGTCAACTATGTTTTGTGGACCGAACTTGATAATCAACGGTTGGATGAAAAAAATACATTACCTTTGATGTTCGCCTTGTCATCGTCAGAAAATTCTGGAAGTCTAGATTGAGACAAACCAATTTCCATACTTTTATTGTGGACCTGAGACTTCATGATTTCAGGGTAATCTCCATTGACTAGAATTGGATGTGCGAACCATCCAAAACTAAATTGATTAGCTGTTTCAGCAGCTTCGAGGTCGGATGGATTACCGGGATCTTCCGGTATCGCAAAGGAAAAACTCAAAGTTATACCAATTTGACCTAAAGAAAATGACAAATTGAAAAACGTAAACACAATCTTTCAAACCGACTTCAAATCTTGTTAAAATAAACATAATATTTGGAAATTTATTTCTTAACGGAGTCTCTTATAGATGCTACAGGACTTTTCGATGTTGCATTTGAAGTTTGTTTCTTTTGTGATTCAAGTGAAACCTATTTCAGAGGTGCATTGTAGGACAGCTTGAAGTATAGAAGATACAGCTGTTTGGTCATAAGATGAATGGGGCTTATATCAAGACTGACACTTTTATTAATATAGATTTCAACCACAATGATCTTTTGTTATAGCAAAATAGAACACTGGACCAGATCAAACCTTTTTGAGTTTTTCTAAACTCCTCATCATAAATATGAAAAGCCAAAGCGTGTGATTTCAATATGTTGTGAGCTACTATGTATGTATTGGTGCCAAGGCCTTTCAGACCTGGTGCCATATCTCCAATACCATGACCTTGAATCGACACCACCCATGGTTCGTTGAATGTAATCCAATGATTCACCTTAAAATAAAATGAAAGGAAATTGAGTTTTACGCCCTAATCTAATAAAACAGGTAGCGCTATAAATGTGTACTGAAGTCCATTTGTTGTCTAATTTTCGATATTCAACTGTCACTTATGGACACTCCGAACGATCGCTGCATGTACAAACTTTCGCGATACAAGAAAAGTGTTTAATGAAGTCAAGGTATTAGACGGAGTTCATAAAACCTTATTATCAATGGGATTGTAAAGAAGTTTTCTAGATTTTTTTGGATGTGTATATGTTTTATCATATTCGCGATTAGTGAGGAAAGCTTTTTACAATCCCTTTAATTCTTACCCTATTACCAAAATGCTGAAAGCACAGCCGAGCATATTCAGCAAAATATTTGTTATTATCCTCGTTTAACCAACCACCTTTATACATCAGAGCTTGTGGTAAATCCCAGTGGTATAATGTGACTACTGGTGTTATATTGTATTTCAATAACTCTGATATTAGATTATTATAATAATCTATTCCTTTAGTATTGATGGTCTTATTGGTTCCATCTGGTAATATTCTAGGCCAGGAGATGGAAAAACGATAATGAGTGGCCTGAAAAGATAGAGGAGCACAAATTATACAGATATTCTCGCGATTAAGATAAGCATTTACCTGAATTCAAAAATACCTATATTGGTTCAAGATACAATACTATCTACTCTCGACATTCCGCCCACTAGAAAGCGAGGAAAGAGGCGACAAAGCGACGAAAAATGTGAAAAAGCGAGGATAAAAGGGCGAGTAAAAGGCGAGAAAGCGAGACTAGATATGGCAGTAGTCAGCTTCCTAGTAGAAGCGCACATCTACTGAGTTAATAAAAATTCAAAGTGGGGGTAAATGCCAAAATGCAGAGATATAATCTATAGCAAGATGACATGCATGTGGTCGTACGAAAAAAAAAAAAAAATTAATGCGACATCAATGACAATGAATGTAATGAACATCATGATCGCCAAGGCAATTCTGATAAAATCATACATTTTGATAAGGGCATATTTTCATATCTAATGTATTGCGTTCTGTAGTACACATTTACAAAACAGTTTTCTTAAACCACACCTTTTGTAATGTTTTTGTTATATGGGGAGGAAAACCGAAACCGTCACATCAATATAGGCTTGTCATTAAGCTTGAATAAGCTCTGCAAATAACAATAATCTTCATTGCACATAGACCGAAACATCTGTCTCTATTCCAGCCTCTGATAGCTATATCTCGGCTAGTGTGGAGATAAAAAAAATAAGCCCTGTTAAATGGGGACATTCCGAATCTCCGCTAGTGCGAGGGTTTTGAACCTATTTAGATACCTCAGATCTGCAAAACCAAGATATATTTGGAAAGATGAATATCTTTATAGTTCAGTCATACTATCACTTTCTCCTTAAACCATCTATGTCACGTCTCCGGTTCCATCAAAGTATTTTTTAAAGAAGCTGATCTCGCCTCGGTCGGTTAAAACTGCGTGCGTAGCCAAATGTCAAAGGTCAAATACTCACGTAATACTAGCAAAACGAAAGTTACGGGAATGCCTAACACTTATTTAGAGTAATTGTAAACGTAATTTAACATGATGTTAGAAAAAACACATCTCTGGAGGTGTGGAAAATCGCCATTTAACAGGGACTTTTTCTTCGGGTTTTACTCTAGCCGACAAGTGTCAAAACATCCATCAGAGGCTGAAATAGAGGCAGATGTTTCGGACTACATAGCACATAGAACAGTAGTACTCACACCAATATCTTTCAGCATCTGAACGTCTTCTTTATATTTATGATAGCTATCACATGCTATAGCTCCTGTACTGCCATCGTCAACATTTCCTGGTATTCTAGAATACCTATCCCATATACTTTCACCTTTTCCTAAAATAGCAAAGATTAGTTGCATACTTGCTGCCTTTTACCAACTTCTGGTAGATCTTACAGAACACGGTTTACTTTGAGAGATACGGTTTTGCTTTAATGCGGTGTGTTTTAATTGCTAAATCATTTATTACCTACGTGTATACGATTCAAGATTTTCGGGTTTTGTTTTCAGGCATAAACTTAAATATACCTCAAACTAGAAATTTCACTATCAATTTCTATGTCTTTTCTTTCTTATATTATGATGGAGTCTCAAACGCAAATAGTTCTGAGCACATATGGACATATAAAATTATGATGGTGGGTGAGCTTTGATTAGCTTAGCTTAAAAAATTCTCGTTTTTTAGACTAAGGTATATTTGGTCGAATGCTCGGCTAATCTGTTTCATTGAATTCCAATTAGTAATTCTGTCTATTGCTTTTACAAACAATAATCAATCGAATTGTCAGAGTTTACTACCAGAATATGTTGAATAAAATAGGTCTATACAACTACAAATGGGCTTCAAAATTAAATAAAAATAGAATTCAACGTACCGTCTTCATTCCAAGCTCCTTCTACCTGGTATGCTGCGGTGGCTGTGCCCCATGCAAAGCCATCAGGAAATGTATCAAAATAAAACTTATCCTCATAGGTATCGTTTCCGTCAACTACGGCAACAAGCAAGAAACTCGCAAGTAAAAGCATCCATACAGCCACCATTTTTCAGAGGGAAATATGAAAAATGACATTAGACTTTAAACCTATATCAATGTCCTTTATTTTAATAGGGTCAAAAGAAAAGGGGTAGATTATATCGTCATAAATACATTTTTGTAACATCAATGGCAGGCAACAAAGGAATTTTAGATACCAAGAGGGTTGGACTAAAACACGTATTGTGTTTTCAGTAGCTTTAAGTAATTGAAATGACATGCAGTTTTTTTATGCAGTCTTATTTTTATTCGCTCAAACAGTTTAGGCTAATGAAAACCATGAACACGATTCACTCATAGGGAAAGCGAATCAGTGGCGGAGCCAAAGGGGGGCAGAGGGGCAGCCTATACTGGGATCGCATTCGAGGACTTCCGAAAAGGGGCTACGAATTGAAAGATCCATGAACCACGAACTGTAGCAGACCGATCCGGAATATGAAAATAATTACAATTTAAAAAGCGTGTGTGTTGTATTGTCATCCATTACATTACATATAAAATAAATATAACTTCAATAAATAAAAGCTTATATCATATATTGATAGTCATGTGACCATTCTTTTGTACATCAATCACAACAGGGATGACTTTGTGGTGACATCTGTTTCAATCATCATTATGCTATATTCGTTAGCCCACGGATAAATGGAAAGTGGTGAGTTTCAGAGGATATAGTATTCAAAACAACGAAAATGATGTATAGCATTGTATGTTGCATATCCTTACGAGAAACTCAGTTTGAACTTGAAGCAATCCGAATCATAGCATAGTGACAGCCGATCTGAATCACCCGTGCAAAATAGCATTAAAAGAAAAGTTATTTTTCAAAAACAAGCGCATTTCAGAATTTTTGAGATGGATATAAGAATACGTGTTAAAGGGACAGATAGGCCATGTTTTCAGTCTCGGAAACTGGAATTGTTTAGCTGAGCTAATTAGTCATAGTGTTCAAATCCATGTTTTACCATCTTCGTTGGAATGTTAAAATTTACGATACAATGTGATATATAAAAAGACATAAATAGAAATAGTGGGTAAAATTCCTAGTTTGAAGTATTTCTAAAGGAATTGTGTGATTTTTTGTACATTTTCTAGTATTTCTGAAGACTATTTACATATAATAAACACTCAAATCAACCCCCCAAAATGCCGCACCTGTCCAATAATTTTAGTACCAATAAATCCCATGGATAACTTTGTACTTTCCAGTGGTAACGAAAACGGCGGCATTATACAAGTTAAATTTACAGACAATCAATTATTAAAACAAATATCACAGTGAATACAAATGTAAAGTTAAAGTGCATCGTTGGTGACGCACTGCGCGAGACACATATAATTGATGGCTCCATTACTTTGGTTGTTTTTGTGTTTTCTTGTACTGGAGGGAATCCATTGTTGGATGCTAGAAGTCGCATATAAGAAGCTGCAGCCTTTGGTCGTTTGAAACTATATTTCCCTGCAAGCTGGTATAATCCTTGGTGTTTGTACATGTATCTTTTCCATATGGTTCCGTCAACCAGAGGAGAATATGTATAGCCTTTGACGTCACATCCATCGATTCTTATAGCTAAAAAAAAAATTAGTTCAATTTTACATTATCACTTGTTTCAGCGAAAAATGCAAGAATACATTATCATCGGATCTAAGGGTAATTTTACATCCTCTCCCTTCGGACGTAAACCTGGCTCCGACACTCTATATGCATAATGTACATACATCGTTTTAGTTTTAATATTTATATAATTATATCCACTATAACTGACACAAGGTTAAATAGCTTGGGCTGTCGGTAAAACTGATTGGTGATAACGAAAGCGTGAAAACGTTGTATCGGTTATGATGTTATAGGTAAATTGACTTTGGCGGAATTTTATCTCCCATCTTTTCGATGGCTTTGTATATATTTTAAATTCTTTTGTTATATTCAAATTACATTACAATTTATTTGCATATTGTTATCGTCATTTATCTTAAATTTGAATAAATGACATTTACGCAATTTGTAGTTTAAGATTTGCCATCTCAAACGAGCAAGGTCCGCAAAACTCTTGTTTGCATAGGGGGGTTGGAAGCTACACAAAGACATTTATGATTGATTAAAACTAAAAACTTAATTTTATGCAATAAGAACATAATGATATGATTAAGAATACATGTTAATTCATCAGAAACACCAATTAACCAAATAGTTTGCTTAATTTGACACTAAAAAAATAAGGAAACCAATCTTTAACCTATGATTTGTTCGAATCTTACCTTCTAGTATACTGTTGACACTTGCTTTAATATATTCAATTCTATCGTATGAATCGGAGATACTGTTTCCTGATATGAATATTGGAACTTTACCAAATCTCTTCTTTACTTCTTGCAGTGACCGTCTGATATACCAAGGTTTATAGTTTTCGCTAGATAAAAGAAACAGGATATCATTGTGACTAGTGGTGTATTTAGGGGGCAGGTCATTGGGTCATTGGGTCATCCCCCCCCCCCCCCTTCGTGCCTGTAAAAGGTCTTATTTTGAAGTAAAAGCCCGCTAAACGCTCAAAATTTATCTCAGGCCATCTGAAATCCGTTGGCTTTTGGCAGCTTCCAGACCTCCGGACTTACAGGTTTTCGCCGCTTCGGGTCTCGTCCGACACATCCCGTTTTGACCCCTCCCCCCACTCCTAAGACATTTTCTAGATACACTGTGATTGTGCCAGCTGTGGATAAAATCTCCTCACAAATGTAGTGCGACCTAGAGATACTTTAGTTTCTCTGGAATTACAGAGAAATAATTATTTTTAAATAGAATATACAGCTTACCTGTTATAATCATTCTTCATTATTTTACCCATTCTATCGCTGTCAAATGATGTATCTTCACCGCTATCTTTTATTCCTTGTACTTTATAAACAGCGTAGTGAGCCAACCCTATGAAGTCATATGCTCCTGGAGGGAAATAAAATAACATTTGTGTGTGTGAATGAGATTGAATGAAATACGCAGTCATATATATATATTGGTATATAATGCGCACTTTATTAATACGCAGACATATACTGTATAATTTGGTATATAAAGCGCACTTTTCTAATACGCAGTCATACATTGTATATTTTGGTATATAATGCGGACTTTTATAATACGCAGTGATATACTGTATATTTTGGTATATAATGCGTACTTTTATAATATGCAGTGATATACTGTATATTTTGGTATATAATTCTGATTGAATGAAAAAACATGAACAGTCCGCTATAGGTAGTTTCTCTAAAAATGAATACCATAAACAGTATTGAACACGAACGCTTTGCAACATAATATCAAAGCATTGAATGTCAGCCAAAGGTACAAATTATTTTTTAGCCCCTGCTTCGAGGAATGTAATACACTTGGTGTTTCTAGGAAACATTAGGTGAGAGGGTCGAGCAGGGGCCACAAGATTGTCCAGGGGTACCAAGCCGGACCAACCTCTTTTCTGGCGCCCCGTTGAAATGCCACTGTTTATTGTGTTATAATTTGGCGAAATTCTCACCTTTATTGAGTTCTTGTTCTTCTGGAGAGAAAATTGGTAGGCGAGATCCAATTCTTTCTTTCATTGTCTTCGGGTAGTCGCCTCTTTTTAATAGAGGGTCACCAATCCAACCAAACTGAAACTCTCTGGCTCTCAATGCTGCCTGGTAATCAGCAGGGTCGTAATTATTATAGGGTTCAAACCAATCACCATTCAAAGCAATACCAACACTACCTGAATAACATAACTTTGCCTATTAGACTGTGTAACAAGGATTGTGGAAATGTGGATTTTTTATAAGTTCGTGAATGGAATCAAAAATGTTCTTACTGACTTGATTGAATTTGTTGGGAACTATTTTTAAGACGGTGGGCGTTAACTATTCCCTTCAACTACGATACCAAATACCACAGTTCTAAGTTATAAAGTACCCTATATCGCAATACGAATCGTGTCGTCGACCTTGCATCGTGATACGTATCGGGTGTGGTGTGGTGTGGTGTGTTTCTGTATTCCAACTTGCGCAACCACTGAAGCCAACCCATGTCATGTGTGAGTCTGAGATAAATTCATTTTTAACACATCGGTAGAAATCACAATTCTCATATTATGAAGCTGGCAGACTTTCACGACGCCTTTGAAGCTACGGCACAAAAACGTCTAGAAGAAAAATACAATAAACTACCTTTTTGTTCATGTTTGAATTCTCGTTGATACATGTGATATACACGGACGTGAGCCTTTATTATATTATGCACTGCTCTGTATAGTTCATCTGTTGATTTGGTCTTCAAAGGATAGTATACTCCACGTTCATATGCATTCAAGGCTGCGTCTGCTGGTTCGTCAAAAGTTATCCAATATTTTACCTAAAAGTTGAAATAACATTAACAGTATTATCAAATACGTCAGCGAGCATGTCCAACTAACATTTAACTTATTTAAGTAAACGCATTTCTTGAAAGGGGAGACCATATTGGCCCAGTGAGATAGTAACTCATTAACCGGAAGACCAGGGGCCGAACATGGTATTGATCGAAAGGAAACCTTTTCGTCTAAAATTGGCAGTGATGGCAGGGCAGCAGGGGTAATAATGCAAATGCGTTTAGTGGCGCTAATAGAACAATAAACTGAATTTTCGTTACTGCACGCTACGGTTAACAATTTTTTAGATATGATCACAGCATTCTTTGCAAAGCGTCAAAGCACCCCTGTTTTAATCTGAAAACTATACCAGATTTGCGTAGAGTGCAAAGAACTTACCTCATGGCCAAAATTCTTAAAGCATATTCTGGCATAGTCAACAAATAGATCTATGGTGCTTTCATTCAACCATCCTCCATATTTTGTTTCAAGATCTGCAGGTAGATTCCACCAATACAGTGAAACAATGGGATCTATAGCATAACCTTCCTTCTCACTCAATTCGCTTAACAAGGACTTGACGTAATCAACACCATCTTTATTAACTTGGTCTGCCGTAATATTGGGTAATATCATTGACCACTTCAGTGACATATATGCATGAGTTGCCTGCAAGATATTAAAACGTTTTCAGGCACATTCTTGAAGGGACTGTAAAGAGGTTTTGTGTATCAGGAAGACTGAAGGCATCAATTTGCGCCATTCAAATCGATCAGAATGGTCTGTGGTCTGTGGTTCCTGCAATTCTACTAAAACCAAGTGTTTGTTGACGTCACTAATCGCTAAATATGCTTGTAACAAAAAAGGCCCTTCGCGATCGGTGACGACATCAAACACTTAGTTTTCTTGAATGGCTGGAACCACAGAGGTCATGTTGAAAATTGGAATGGTGCAAATTGATGCTATCGATGTCCTCCATACAAAATTTAGAAAACCTCATTACAAACCCTTCAAAACAGAATTGTCTGCAAACACAATAGTCCTAAACACCAAAAAACAATTTCGCTGCCACCATAAATGCATGAAATATAACTAGAAATAGTTATCTCTTCGTACAAAATCTTGTTTAACAGATGGAAAGGATTTAGTCGTAATTTCTCCTTCTCAAATGAACAACTCATCTTGCGTATTTCGGGTGTAAAATCCCCATCGAGATAATTTAAAAAGAAATGGGTAAGGTCAGTAAACCTGTGTCACAATCTATAAATGGCCATAACTTACATTTATCTTTATAAATTTCTGCATATCTATTAAGTCATCTATTCCATAAGCGGAGAACTCTCCATGAGTAAGGCTTTTAGCTTGTATCATTAGATCCACAGTACTGTTACTTTGGCCTGTAACAATATAAATAATCAAATATAGAAATACAAATAAATGTCTGCATTAGACTCGTAAACAAGTCGTCTTAATAACTGTGACCAATTGGGCTGAAACTTCAGCGGCTAAGTTGGCTACTACTATTAATCCAGTATTAAGCTGCTCGACCACCACGGCGGTTATTCGACAAAAACATGACCTGGGCTTTCAAAGGTCAACAGTGACTGACGGCGGTGGCTTACAGGTCTAATCTACATGCAAGATATGCTATGCGAAGCACAAGAAACAATTGAAAGAGGGTAACCAGTGATTTCAGAACTGATTTTTTCTGTCATTATTTTGAAAAAATATTCACTAGTTGGAATTTTCATCAACCCAAAGATAATCTAAGACTTTCGGTGCTATTTGAGAGATATTTCCATCCTAACAAAAATATTGAAAATTTCTATCTGAAACTCAATTGGTCTCGATATCTTTCGTTTTCTAAAGCATAAATTTACTGAAAGGCAATAGAAACGTCATGTGTCTGTATGATATATATAGGATATGTTCGACCAACCCCACTTGATATACTCACCAAAGAGATCTCGCATTTCTGGAGATTCACCATAACCAACAACCGAGGAACCCCACGAAAATTTGTCTGGAAATTTTAAAGATGAAAGTTCGGTTTCCTCTGACGCTGGGTGCAAATCAGTAAGAGCATCTTTCACGAAACCATGGTCTTTTATCAAAGCAGCATAATATGTTGCTGAAGACTTAGGTTCTCTTTTCGGTGATTGTGGCCCAGCATTGTACAGACCAAACTTTTCACTATAACCTCTGGCCCACTCAAAATTATCCATCAAAGACCACAGAGTGTAACCAATGACATTTACATTGTCAAATTTAATGGCTGAAATATAATAAAGAAAAAAATTCAGAATAGAAAATACCCAGCAGATTCCAATTCCACAATGAAGTATTTCTTCCACCCAAGACCCGTGCATGTGGGAGAATCAAACCGTCCCATCCCCGAAATTAGTTAATTACTGTACCGGAATCCCTCAGCATGGCGGTCTTTCAATGAACAGATCATTGCATTGGTTGAATATTATTTGAGCAAGAACATGAGATGCATTACATATTTGTCAGATCAGGAATGACAACTGGAGTCGCATGCAGAAAATAACATAAAGCGAAACACCATTATGATGTTAAAAAATAATGTAAGCAACATGAATTGCGACACATCATTAGATATGCGCCTTTTGAAAAAATGTGCTTCTTGACCAGAAACATTGCATTTCACCCTCAGCCAAATAAGAATGGACAATCTGGAAACATAAGAAATAACGTATTGCCATTATCACCCGATATATTATTTTCAGACCCCGTCAATTGTAATATTAAGAACTCTTAACAGAACAATTTTTGCTATATTTTGGGTCAAGATTAGTTTATGTAAGGTGGCAGTGGCGTATTTAGTTGTTCCCATAATTACCTTTTAAAACTTCGTTGACATAGTTCCCAATATATCGAGTTCTAAAGCTATCATCCAAATCACCAGTATTATCAGATACACCATTCTCAGTGATCAGTATTTCAGGATTACCATAGTGATTTTTAATCCAGTTTAATATCTTCCTTAATCCATATGGTACAGGTTTCAGCCAATCTGACCCAGTGCTTTAAATTTAAATCATGTGAATATGGAGAAATATTCTATCCCTGTTACAAAGATTTCAACAGAATGAAATGTAAATTAAATGATTAGTTCTAATTCCTACTTTTCTGCACCTGATTTGGCTAATGAAAACAGGCAACGCCATGTAGTGTGTAATGAGGGAAATTTTGCCAGGACAGTGACATTAGCCTTCTATTTATCCAACTGCCAAGGTTTTTTTAACATTCCTAATATCAATATAACAGAAGTTGATTGACCTACTTTTCCCACGACGGGTCGAACCCTGAAGATATTCCTCTATCATTCATGTAACTAGGTTTTTCTTTTCCTGCTTTTAGAGGGTCTTGCTTCTCTACAAGGTTCGTAGAATAGGAATTCAACCCGAAAAAGTCAGACGAGCCTGAAATGAAATGAATGGAGTTTTACGTTCTACTTTTCTGCAACATATGGGCTAATGAAGACGGTCAGACGAGCTTGTAACAGAAGGCATATAGGCGTAAAGCAATGTTTTTTTTGAAGCTACATTCAATAAATCCCAGTAATTCGTCCAATTTTTCCATCCCCTCCTTACTCTTTTGAAGTGTGATTATGGTGATTTCACGCCGATTTCAATGGAAATCACTAAGTAGATGAGCTATTAAGCATAAGTATGACACTAATTTTCACTTCAAGCCAAAAATAAAGTCGCCGGATAATCCAGGCCGTAAACGAGAGAGATGACAGGGGACTTGAAAAATATAACTCTTTTAGCTGAAGAACAGAGGCTATACCCATACGTATACAGCTTCTACTTACCACTTATAACTCTCATTTCATCTGGTGTAAATTCGGGCAACCGAGATTTGCTTAATCCTTGTTGTGCACTGACTGCTGCAATCCTAGTCTTCATGTATTCTGGATAGTCTCCGTTCACATATATTGGGTGAGCAAACCAACCAAGGAATGTCTGAAGCGCCCAATCTGATGCTTGGACATCATCAGCATTCTCACTGTCTTTTGGTTCTTGCCAATCAATATTCAATGTGATGCCAATTTTTCCTGAAATTGAAATAAGAAAAGAATTATATTATAAATTACGTCGTGTGCCTTGATGATTTATGTTCCTTACTTAGTGATGAGCTGCCTTAATTAAACAGTACAATGGAATGTTATTGTTCACTAAAGGATATAGACTTGCATTGTATGATGTGGAAACTGACATCGTATGTTCCAAACGACCTCCGCAAAAGTTACGCTTGTGCTTTGCCATACCACGGTTCAGCTTACGGAAACAGCCGAGAATTGCCAAATGCGCATGTTCTGGATTAACCAAGATGGCTGACTAACGACACTCTGCTGAATTTCAACTTCCATGAAGTCTAAATAATGCAATTAAGTACCGCTCTAAAAATTCTCTTCTAATTTTTAGCATGCAGACAAATATGAGCCTGGAACTGTCCACATGTCGGAAAAAACATAGGGTTTATGGATTTCTTCAGATTAGGAACTCCGATACCCACAGAGAAAAACGAACTTGTATTGAGATTATGAAAACTACAAACCAGATCCTTTATAAACATCGTGATACTGATGATAGGCGGCAGCATGAGCTCTAATAGCATTATGAGCGACAATGTAAGGATAGACACCCGGACTATCTTTTATACCAGGCGCGAAAGAACCACCACCATATCCTTTATACGTAAATACCCACGGTTCGTTTAATGTAATCCATGTATCAACCTGAAATGATCACAATGAACTCATTCTATAGTAAGTTATCAGTTCTCCAGTCGAGGTTTTTAGCTTTTTTATGTGTATCTGTAATGAATATGGATTCTATTTACACTAATCTAGCCAGGCCATCCACTTGCTGAGGCGTTTCTAGGAAAAAAGGTGAGTGGGCTAAGCAGGGATCACAAAATTGTCCAGCGAGACCGCATGTAATTCTATTACTATGTAAAAAAATTGAAAGTGTGGGGCCAAAACCGGGCTAGACTCATTTGTGGGGTGGGGTGCCATTTTTGGGACATATGATGGCAGTTTTATTTTTAGTGGAATTGCAGGAAACACAGATTGGATATTCGAATGGTGCACATCGAAGTTAAGGGTGTTCCCATAACACATATTATAAAGTTTAGAAAACTACTGCTACTGATTGGGAATGATGTCCGCTGCGGTTGAAATAAAAAATCAATATTACAGACGTTGTGTTTCAAACAACTTGGTACACTCACCCTATCACCATATAAGGAAAACAGCAAACCAGCATAATCTTGATATTTTTGAATGATAGATTCGTTTAACCAGCCACCATGGTTTTGTAACGCTTGTGGTAAATCCCAATGATATATTGTCACCATTGGTTTTATACCATTGGCTATTAATTCATTGATCAGATTGTTGTAATAATCTATTCCTTTCTGGTTTTTACTCGCCATCGTACCATCAGGCATTATTCGAGTCCATGCGATTGAAAACCGATATGCTTGTACCTAAAATTGTACAAAGAGTACATATGAGTTAATTATAGATTTATACACAGAAATGCCTTCTGATACAAATACTGCCATAATATACTCTTTAAGTCAAGACTCCTTGATTACCGTGGGGTTTTTCTAAATTGGTTAATTGGTTGTAAACTGTGAACAAAGCTATAACTGAGTAATAATTCATTAAACTAAGAAATTATATTGATATATCCTGTTATATATAGATTCTATTCTTTAGTCATGGCACCTGGTAGTCCAACTGATGAATATATATATATATATACATACACTTGTTGACCAAGACTTTAAATTTTATCTCCATTGCAAGAAGTAGTATCGTTTTAAGATTAAGATATATGACTGAAATCTTCAATCTGGTTATGTTATTGATTTTCACAATTTGCTTTGACGTCATCTTTTTATTAAAGGGATTGAAAAGAGGTTTTCTAGACGCAAGAAAATTCGACACCAACCCACCACCAGACCACAATAACGTAATAATATATTATTATGTTATCTCCCCTTACAAAATGGCGTCATTTCTGACTCGTTCACATTTTGCTTCAAAGTTATATCAAATGAAATGAAATGAATGGAGTTTTACGTCCTACTTTTCTGCACCATGTGGGCTAATGAAGACGGGCAACGACATGCAGGGTGCAATGGGGGAAATTTTGCCAGGACAGCGGCATCAGCCTGCTCTTTTTCGATTCCCAACTGTCGAGGGATCTTTAACGTGCACAGCCTGTAGCACACGGGGCCTCGGTTTATTGTCCCATCCGAACGACTAGACGCTTTTTCCATATCAGCCCCTCGTAACTGCATCACTGACAGGGGGAAACCGGGTTGAAAAATCCGAAGGTATTGACCCGTTATATCAAACATATATCATCACTGCGGTAATGGTGGTAGGTTGGTTACAGTTACTTCTTTCTCGAATTGCAGGACCAACAGGCATTGAACGAAGAATCGGGACACTGATAGCTTCAATTTGCACCATTCCAGTTTTCATTCCAACGTCTGTGGTTCTTGCAATTCTACTAAAGCTAACGAGTTTTATGACGTCACTAGAGGTGAGCTACCGGAAGCTACTTTTAATATCTATGCAATTCCCCTCTAGTGATGTCATAAAAAAAGCGTTAGTTTTAGTGGAATTGCAAGAACCACAGATGTCGGAATGAAAATTGGAATGGTACAAATTGATGCAAAAGTCAGAAAGGAAGCAAACAAATTTTTACCCCGAGATCTTTCACCATTTGAACATCCTCTTTGTATCTATGATAACTGTCACAAGCTTTCTTTGGTGTAGCTCCATCTTTACAATTACCACCTTCTGCAAACACATCCCATATACTCTTTCCTTTTCCTACAACACAAATGTAACCATCTTAAAAAATCTATTTCAGTCTCAACCAATAAATCACAAAAATAGATCTTATTTTAAACCAACGCAAATTACTTTCAAACAGTATTCTTATGGCTAAAAACATGGACAAAGTCAACTATTTCAAATCATATGGTTTTTTTTTCGTTCTTTCGCTTTTGGATCAGACTATGCGTAAACTTCCATGGTTTATCATTTCTACTAGAGTCAAATTTAACCACGATTAAAATGATCTCAACGATAGAGAGGAATTTTCGAACAGAATATTAATTTGATGCTAAGGTGGTTTTAAAGGCAAAAACATTTAAATAAAGCACTATATCTGCATTATGTAATAGGAAATATCGCTTAAAATATGTATTATGTAATACGAAGTGTGGACTTACATAATATTGTATTAAGTAATACGAAATATTATCCAACATAATATTATTATCAAGTAATTCGAAATATTACCCAACATATGTATCAAGTAACACGATATATTGCCAAACATATATATTAAGTTATACGTAAGCATACGTACCATCATTACCCAACATATGTATCAAGTAATACGAAATATTATCCAACATAATATTATTATCAAGTAATTCGAAATATTATCCAACATAATATTATTATCAAGTAATTCGAAATATTACCCAACATGTATCAAGTAATACGAAATATTACCCAACATATGTATCAAGTAATACGATATATTGCCAAACATATGTATTAAGTTATACGTAAGTATACGTACCATCTTCGTCCCAGGCTCCTTCAATCTGTGTAGCTGCTGTTGCGACACTAAAGATGAAGTCTTTTGGAAATGTATCGTACAGAAATTGAGTGGTATAAGCTGGAGCCGTTCCACGTCCACCCATCGAATTGTAACCAGGTTTGAAGCCATTGTCATGGGTCAACAAAGCATACCAATTAGCTGAAGATTTTGGAACACGTCTTCCAGATACATTAATACGATAAAGACCGGATTTTCTGAAAATTCTATTAGTTTCGTCATACCCATCTAAATGTAAGTAGGCTGAAAAGCCTTTCACGTTACAGCCATCCAGATTAGTAGCTGAAAAAAGGAAAATTCTTTTAAGCCTTCAGTTGGAATCACATATTCGCATATGACCTTAACGTAGACTTCACACAGGAATTTTCCATGAGGAAACTGTTTTAAAGAATTGAGATCAGTCGTTACAGTTTCCGTATCTTACATGTTTGCAAAGAAATAGTCGTAAATTATGCCTGAAAATATTTCTAAAATATGCTATTTACATCTATGTATCTACTTAATCAAACTGAATTAGTGTTAAAAGGGTTAATTTAAAACACAGTGTATTTATTGTTAATTAGGCAGTTTCAACTAGTTTTGATGTTGTGCATCATAAATACTTAATATTTTTAGTTGAAACTTTTCGAATACGTAGGAGACACATTTCTCTCCAATTTTGCTTAAATCCGTACAGTAGTTTTCTTACAACGACCAAAAGCATACAGAACCTTAAAATATTTACGTAAGCCTTTAAATAGGCACACGTTTCGTTTGAATTTGGTATAAATTTGAGAAAAATAATTTACTTCTAACGAAAAAACGGAATGTCCCTTGGGTATGGATATATTTTAGCCTCTCTTACCTTTCAAAACATTATTGATGTATGTTCTATAATAATGTATTCTGTGATCATCATGAATTGTTCCATTTGTATCATATATACCGGATATGACGTAAACAGGAGGGTTTTTATACTCATTCTTGATCCAATTCAGCGTCTTCCGAATAGCAAATGGTGCGACTTTAACACGACTAACACCAGTGCTAAAACATTGAATTATTGGTATCAAATCTTAACCCTCCCCTTTACCAACAGTTAACAGGAAGTACAATGAGTAAAAACTATTGAATTTGAAGGAATAATACGTGACATGTACATTACGGAATCGGGGATTTTCTAAATACAAGAAAATGATAAATTCAGGGCCGTCACTACGTTTAGGCACATGAGGAAAATGTATCATGGACAATTTGACAAAAAGGGTAAATAAAAAGTAATTTTATTTAAATGTGTAAATTATATAATATGTCTACAATAAAACGGATGTTCTTTTAGCAACTAGATGTGAATAATCATCATACCGTTGCTAAAGGAACATGACGGAAAAGGTGCTTACCGTTTCTTGTCTCATAGAAAGAAGACAACCTAAAACCCTAAAAAAACCTAAAACCCTAAAATACCCTAAAATCCTAGTTACAACCCTGCATTTTATTTTTTTTTTATCCATATATACATATAGGCCTACCATTAACATTCAATAAATTAGGTAGTGGAAATCTATTCTCAGTCTCACAGTTAATATCATGTTGGCTGATCGGCGGGTATGGGTTAATAATACCAACCCTCAAACATTGATAATGTATGATATCACAGAGAAGAATAATCAAAAGTGGTTCATTGGTCTCCAGAAACGTCAACTTGTATAGATAAATAGATCATTTTCAGCACCCAAATAAATCAACTTCAAGATCACTTGTTAGCAGTGGCGTATTTAGGCGGCAATTTTTGGGCTATTAGACATGGAAAACTTATCCAACTTTCACTTCCAAAATGGCGTTAAATGTATTCTCCGGCTTTCTATATAATATAAATTTCCCCCCTAATCCCCCACCATAACTAGTGCCTTTTCAATTCTGCGAGGGGCCACCGGAACGCTCGGATGGCCCCTTCCCCCTCAATGAAATCCTCACTACGCCACTGCTAGTTATACAACAGACATTTCTGAAAATAACTAGACCAGAGTGTTGAATTACCCCCTCACTCGAAAGATATAATAATGTTTCAGAAATGATATTCTGAATAAACTAACGGTATCTAGTTTTTATTAACTATACTCTGGCATAAAGTAGTTCATGTAAATTCAACATCTTGCTATTGCTTATCTATTAGATTTTATCTGATCATAGAATGAGCCTTATTTTATTTCAGTCCAAATGGCTGATCAATACAATGTTAAAAATGTGTATATAAAAAACTCTGTAATCTGTAATATTATACAATGCTTACCTCAACCATGAAGGATCAAAGCTTGTTTCTACCATCCGATCATTCGTAATGTTGTATGGTTTTCTTACAACTTTAAAGCCATCAAGTAACACAGTTTCTATATACTTTACTTTTAGAAAATCAGAGCTGCCTGAAACAGTTCACTGGGTCAATTAATATATATATTAGGCAGAAACACCGGAAATAACCCACAATTCCTTAACACTACAGTCAAGCAACATTGATGGGCTCCATCAACAAATTACTAGTCAAGCAAAATCAGAGGGTGGTCTTTACCGACAAATTACTAGTTAAGTAAATTCAGAAGGTCTCTACCGACAATTACTAGTCAAGCAAAATCAGAAAGTGGGCTCCATCAACAAATTACTAGTCAAGCAAAATCAGAAGGTGGTCTCTACCGACCATTACTATTCAAGCAACATCAGAAAATGTCTATACCGTCACATTGATAGTCAAGCTACAACACGAAGTTGATTCCATCAACAAATCACTAGTCAAGCAAAATCAGAGGGTGGTCTCTACCGACAATTAGTAATCAAGCAACATCAAAAAGATGTCTATATCGTCACATTGATAGTCAAGCTACATCACGAAGATGATTCCATCAACAAATTACTAGTCAAGCAAAATCAGAGGGTGGTTTCTACCGACAATTACTAATCAAGCAGCACCAGAAAGATGTCTATACCGTCACATTGATAGTCAAGCTACATCAAGAAGTTGATTCCATCAACAAATTACTAGTTAAGCAACATCAGAAGGTGGTCTCTACCGACAATTACTAATCAAGCAACATCAGAAAGATGTCTATACCGTCACATTGATAGTCAAACAACACCAGAAAGTGGCCTCTACAGAAACATCAGAAAGTGGTCTCTACTAACACATTAATAGTCAAGCAAATCCAGAAAGTGGTATGAACCAAATGCCAGCAGTCCAGCAGAAGCATTATTCTCTGTTAGCTATAACAGGAAGATATTAGATACTAGATATATTGATGATAAAGCAAACATCAGAAAATGATGTCTATGGACCACCTGTCAGTCAAGCATCAAACTGTGGTCTCCGCCGAAAGATTAAAAAGATCTCTTTATCGAAATATTGCCGGTCAAACTACTTTGGAAGGTGGATTTCACGAACACATTTCCAGTCAAGCAGGGCCAGAAAGGGGTCTCTATCAACATATTACTAGTGAGCTATAACAGAGAAAGATGGCAAATTACTGGTAAAGCTACATCAGAAAGTGGTGATCATAATTGTTTCCAGAAAAATGTTGTCATATTTAAAAATTCACTGCTGTCACCACAACGCGGATTTCACCCTTTCGCGTATCTTCAGATGTGTGTGATAGAAGCAAATCTACCTTTGATAAGTTGTTGATCTGCTGAAGTTAATTCCGGAAGTCGGCTATTTTCTAGTTTTTGGAATCTGTTTACAAATTCCATTTGGTGTTTCATGATTTCAGGGTAGTCTCCAGTACCGAAGATGGGAGAAGCAAACCAACCATTTCTCATCTGCATATATCGTTCAGCCAGTTCTACATTTCTGCTTTCTTGTGGTTTAGAAGGTTCAGCCCATGCAAAGTCTATCTCAATGCCAACTTTTCCTGTTAAAGGAAAATTCAAAGAAAATTGAAGTTAATAAATAACATGAAAGTCCTATATTGGAATTCAGCGTCACTTCCTTTTCAAATGAAATGACATGAATGGAGTTTTAAGCCCTACGCTTCTCCACCTAATTTGACTAATGAAGACGTGCAACACCATGCAGTGTGCAATGATAATAATTGAGAATAAGTGGGATCTATAACGTGCACAGCCTGTAGCATATCGGCCTCGACTTATTGTCCCATCAGAGCGTCTAGGCGTTTTTTCCATGTCAGCTACTCCGACTTGCATCACTGACAGGGGGGAGACCGGGTTGAAATATCAGAAGATATTATCTCGACTCGGCTTAGAGGGGTAATATATTAAGTATGTTCCTGCAAACATCATTGATAAAAGTAATTTTAAATACCTTTTTGTGTCGCTTTATATGAATCTGTATAGAGTTTGTAAACACGAGCGTGGGCTAATAATAAATTTCGACCATTAATATAAGGGTATGTATCTTTATGTTCACCATTCACCTCGGATGCAGTATATAATGGATCTTCAAATGTTATCCACATCTTTACCTAAAGGTTATTATCATGCATTAATTAGCTGATAATAACAACAGCATTCAAACTGAACGAATACCAATAGATATGCGCAATTTACCGTCGTACGCGGAGATAGATAAAGTAAAATAAGATAATATCATAATCAAATAGCACTTGGATAAACAATAAAAGAAATCCCAATTTGTCCTTTCAGAAGACACCTATCATACTACAGGATCAAAATCAAACAAATGTGCTGCAAAGGCCGGCGCTTTACCTACTCTGAATACATACGAAATGAAATTACCATATCTCCAAGATTTTTAAAGCAAATATCAGCATAGTCAACAAAATGGTCAATGGTAGACGTACTGAGCCATGGATTAACACCTAGAGCCAATGGTGTCCTACCAGAATATAAAACTACCACTGGTTCTATGTTGTTCTTCTTTAGTTCGCTGATTACATTTTTATAGTATTCCATTGCCGTTTTATTATAAGATGCCTTGGTACCATCAGAAAATATACTTTCCCAGAATAATGCCATTTGATATTGCTTAACCTAAAATCCATAGAAATATATTAAGTGAAACACTATAAATAACGCTACCTCTGCCCATTGGAGTTTTTAGGAAGCATAAGATGATGTCACGAACAAGAGCCACAAAATTTTCCATGAAGGGGGAGGGGGTGGGGGGCTTGGGCCATTCTTTCACTATGCAGAATGATGAAAAAAAAATGGGAAAGTGGCGGGGGGCAAAGCCGGGCCAGTCCCTTTTTCTGGTGGGGAGAGGAGCAGCTGCGAAGAAACTGTACATGAGATAAAATCTTCTAAATCCTTGTATCATCAACAGGGTAAATATTTCTAAATATGTCGGCGATATGACTCGAATTTATAAGTCTGAGAATTTAAATTTTGTCTAATGGAGTTATTCGTTTTGTTTTCGTGCCAATGATTGGGATGATGAAAACAGGGAAAAGACATTCAGTGTGATAATACACTGATGTACACTTTTTCTATTCTCACTATAGAGAAAACTTGTGTAAATTTGACAAAAGACCTCTAATATATATCAAAATGTCTATTGGTATATAAATGAACTACTTACGCCTAAAGTTTTGAGGAGTTCTCCATCTATGTTATATTATTGGTAAGGTAATTAAAAAAAGAATAACATTTATACATTAATACTTTTTGATTCAATATGAAGGGCTTCAAACGAAGGTTTTTTTTTGTTTAATGTAACAGAGCTTCGATTTATACCATTCCGAGTTAAAGTCGGACTTCTGTGTTCATTTGATTTGAATTATAATCGTCAAAATCTAACCCATTCTTTCTTTCTTTCTTTTCATTAAAAGAACAAAGATGTCTGAGAAAAAAGGTGCAAATGGGAACCTGATTATTAAACAGACAGGTTCGCCAGTTTGGGGGTTAATCTGGGTCTTGAATATATATATATATATATATATGTCACAGTAGAGACTGAAATCCAGGAGAATTTAAAATCCCCCTAGGACAAACTCCAAGTCCAATTTTACTTTGTCCTAGTACAAACTCCAATTAGAGTTTCTCCTAGGGCAATTTTAAATTGTCCTAGGAGAAACTAAAATTGAACTTTGTCCTAGTGTGAACTCAAATTGAATTGCAGTGTTTACTCACATTGGACTTTGTACTAGGGCGATTTTAGATACTTCTAGGACAAATCCAAATTTTACTTTGTTTATATAGGGTATATACATATATATATGTAAATGGTCTTCAGAAGTACTAGCAATGTACGAAAATCGCACAATTCCTGCAAATATACCTCAAACTAGGAATTTCACTTTCTATTTCTGTATAATATATGCCTTTTCTATATATGGCAAATATTCAAGAAAGACGATTGGTGTTTTTAACATTCAAACGCGGATAATTCTGGACACACATGGATTTGAAGGCTTAAATTTCGTCGGTGAGTTGTGAACACTATTGATGATAAGCTTAACTAAAAAAAAACTCCCGAATCTAAGACTAAGGTACGATTGGTCAAACGAATCTGTCCTTTTAATATACGCAAATAAGACAGACAGCTGTGACAGCCTCAAAAGGAAGAAACAATGGTAAAATTTCACCAACCTTCAGGTTTCCAGCTCTTCTGAAAATTTTTATAAATAAAACTTTTTACACCCCATTTAAAATCCGTGGGAAAATCACCATAATATATATCAAACTGATCTTCGAATGGTACAGTTCCAGAAGAACGGCCACCTTCCATGTTGTAACCAGCACTGTACCCATTATCTGCTATCAACTTCTTATAGAATGTTACAGATGATTTGGCTGATCTTGGTCTATCGGGATTAGTGAAATCAACATGATACAAACCATATTTTACGCTAAAACCACTGGTCCATTCAAAATTATCCATTAATGACCATACCATGTATCCTTTGAGATTACAACTATCTAAAGTTATAGCTGAAAAACATTCGTTCATTATCTAGTCTCTGACTACACAGTTTTCTGAATTGAAATTTGGCAATCATTTCCTTATGAATTAGAATATCAATTACAAAATATTACTGAGAGTCTTAGATTGTCTTTGGGTTGATAAAAATATTTACCACTGGAAGGGTTATTATTTGTTAACATGATTTTACGGAGAATAATTTTCAGACCAAAAAGTAGGTCATTTTCATGTGAATTTTCTGTGTGTCTATATTTCTATGGACCCAAAGACTTTCTAATACAAAAAACAACCGTTGAAAAGTCATTATTGAATTTATGAAATGAGAGAAAAAATTCTATTCAAAGATCGATGTAGTCAGAGACTAGTACAATATAATTATAATGGTTGGCGAAATGGTGCGTTATTGTAAGTGTCAAATAAGAATGACATCAGTTCGGTACTGAGCCCCTAAGGCGCAATTGTAAACATGTTTATTTATTTTTTCGTTTAAACGAAATAATTACTTCGTTTTAACGAAATAACTATTTCGTTTTAACAAAATAATAATAAAAAGTGTTGAAAATTGCGCTTAAGGAGCTCCGTAGTTCGGCTCCATGAATTGTTTGTACTTTTTTGTTTGATATTCAAGTAATGCCCTTAGATATTACAACAGCTTTTGCGATAGTTATAGGCTTACAGGGAAATTTTTATCACCACAATCTAGAGAAATGTGTTCCTTAACGTATCTGAAAGTTTAACTTAAAAAAAAAAACAAGGTACTTTAGAAATATTTTCAGGTATTATTTACGACATTTTCGATAATGAAAATGTTGTACACTGCCCTTTGAAGCAATTTTATAATTACAGGAATCTTTGACATTTGACCGATAATTAGAAATATATACACATATAAAAGGGACTAGAAACCCTCTTAACAACTACTTAAAAGTCATGAAAGCCTACCCTTCAACGCCTCGTTAGTATAATTTCTCATATATCCAATTCTATATTCATCTTGTATCGTTCCAGTGGTATCAGAGGCCCCGTTCTCTGTTATATAGACATTGATATTATTGTACTTCTTCTTTATCCAGTTTAACATCTTCCTTAATCCACTCGGTGCTGCTTGTCTACAAAATACAGTGACGCAACAAGATGAGCAGTGGCAGCGCAAGAGGGGATACAGAGGGGTATTTGCCTCCCTAAGAAAAGTGGTTTGTACCCCCAATTGTACCCCCACTTTATTTTCAACAAATCGAAATGTTTGCCTTCTTTCTCCAAAATCAATTCATCTTTTCCAAAATTTTCTTGAAAGAACGCTGTAAGACGCTCTATGAGAGACACCACCTCAGAGTAGCCAAAATTTGAATTCAGCCTTAGCAGTCCACGATTGAGTCAGTTTGCCGCATATTTGAACCCCTAGTCTCGGAAGGCTGGCAACGCCACTGTAGATGAATGGGGGCCCGTAGAGTTAATAAGGACGGGGCACCTCCCCTGGGAATTTTTTTATTGACTCTGTAAGTCAATGTAATGTATGTTAATATTTTTCTGAGGGCGGTGGCCCTCTTACGCACGGGGGTCTGGTTGACTTGGTTCAACCAGTTCCTATGGTAGATGAGCCACTGGATACAGATCTTAATTGTTGAGGAAATCAGAGGAGAAGGTCAGCAATCTTTTTTATTTCACACCATACATCTCTCTTCGGTAGATTGTCTTGATTCGAAAATTCAACGGAAGTGTTAATATTGGCAAGGATACCTTGCAACAACGGACCGAAGGTTGAAATACCATGATAAAAGTAATCACACATAGTCAAATACGCAAAATTTATGATGTTATGACCCATCCCATCAAACTCTTTAACGTGTCCGAAACTTTTTAAGGCTACATATTTGTACAGTGTTTCACTTTAGTATGGAAGCCTCGTATCTACATCAGTTTGTTTTGTAAATATGAACACACGAACGAAACTTTTAAATATTTTATTCATTACTGAAAACCTCTCTCTCGTATGTAAAAGACGATTTAAATATAAACGCAACCAACACTTAAGGAAAGAAACGGTAACAAAACCAGTATATATGGAACAATAGCAGATATGTTTTTTTGACAGGTTCTGTTATTTTGAAGAAGCACTATACGGAAAATGATATAATTTATCTTACCCATAATAAGTAGTGTCAGGAACGGTTACAGTATCACTATCACAATCATATGTTGGTGGATTACACTCTTGTACTTTAGAAGTTACCAACCACGAAGAGTAAAAATTCAATCCCAGGAAATCAGCCGAATCTAGAAAAAAAATGCAGAAGTCATAAAAGCCTTGCAGAGCAATGTAAAATATCTATCAGAGACTGGAATATAGGCAGAGGTTTTGGTCTTAGTACTGCTGAGCATTATGAACGTGTATTTGACATATACACTCACTGTCATGAAGATGGGAATCAACATGATAGATGAAATGGGGGTGGGATGTTTTTCATCGGATTGGAACCTTTTCCATTTCAAAAACTTAAGAGAGACATAATTAATCACCGTCTGGACCTGTAATACCATGCAGAATGCACATGGGTAGGTTTTTTTAGTCAGCAGTGTCAAATCACCGGCTATTTTGTCTTGTTGAAGGGTCATACACTTGTACATTAGGTAGCTTTCCAACCAGAAAAGGCAAAGAAAACGATCAAGACTGGCCAAATAATTTTCTCTTATTATTTTCATTATTATAAATCAGTAAATACCTTTATTATCGGCCTTCTCAGGTTCAGTAAATGTAGGCAATCGTGAAGGTTGACCTGGTGAAAGTTGGTGTGTTTTGTTCAATATTAAATCCTTCATAATCTGTGGATAGTCACCATTCACTAATATAGCATTAGCAAACCATCCTAACAGGAACTCTATACCTCGTTCTTGGGCAGCCACGTCCAGCCCACTCTTTGGATCTTTGGGTTCAAACCAGTTACAATTCAAGGTAATTCCAACTTGACCTATTGAAGTAGTGTAAGTAAATAGTAAAATATTGACAACACACTCAAAAAAACTTTTCTCAAAATGGGACGTATTTTTGTGTGTTGATTTTTTGATTGGAATAAAATCTGGAGCTACGGTAAGCATTAATACATTATAAATCGCCATTTCAGGGGTTGATTTGGGTCTTGAATATATGTAAATAGTCTTCAGAACTACTACAAATGTGAGAAAATCGTATAAGTATGAACTAAGAATTTCACTTTCTTTTTCTATAATATGGCTTTTTCTGCTTTAACCGCGTCAAAATCATTACGCTTTTTAACCAATCGAAATCAATCTTCAGAAAGAGTTGTCTGTGAGTTGTCACGGAAACTCGCGGAAATTAACGAACATTGGCGAAGGTTGAACCGAATGAGCTGAACTTAGTTGGACTGGATGTTAGAGGATAAATCTATAAGAAAGAAACAGCCAATCAAATAGCCTTTTTTGGATGCAATATAATGATGAACTTTGAAAATTGCCCTATGTGGTATTGTTAAGTTTAAGGATCGTAGATTTTTTTGCTAATACGAAACGAAATTTTCAATTTTATTGGTGGAATATTTGGTGACGTCACTATTATCAAATAAAAGAATATGCACATATGTATATAAAAATAAAACGAAACAAACTGCTTGCTCCAAGATTATTTTTCTACATTTCTGATCAAATCATGCTCAAAACAAGAGCATAGGCCTACACTAAAACGTTACAAAATTTAACATTTTCGCCCCACATTTCATGTTGGCTTATAAAAATAGTCATTGAACCTTGGTTAGCAGGATTCAGTCCCATTTCTGTTTTAATAAAGTTAACATGCAGTTCCCCTCTGGTCTAGATGGATTTTAGTTGATTATTCCATCTTTTCGACCTTGATTTACATCTCCCACCTATTTGAAACAATTAAAACTTTAAACATGACAGTACACCCTGTTATTAATATTGATATACAATCCAAACAAAAAGTATGTCTACATGGTCAAACTTTAGGTTTGTTGCGACTTTCAAAGCAAATAGAATATTCTGGCATGGTACTGACGAAAGCTGTGACCATTTTTTTCCAATTGATCTGAAGCACAATTAGACTAAATCTGGTAAGATATAGAGGTCAAAAGTTATAATTTTTTCATATGTAGAACACTCAACAATTTCGAGATGGTCACACCTCCAATAAAAAACTCTATCTGTGGCGTTCTAATCAGTCCCAGTTCTTACTTATTCTCAAAAAAAAAAAAATCTGAATTCGTTGTTTAAACAATAAGTCTAATGTGCAGCTCAGACAGAGTAAGATTTCCAAGTATTTCATAGAAATGATTTGTTGTTTGTGTCCATAGAAACAGGGACAATATTATAATTGAAAACATAGGTGTCGTCTTGAAATTGATTTCAACTGTAATCTATATAGCCATTTAGACACGAATAATTTGAATGTGCACCTAAATCCCTGTGCCTGAATTAAATTGTGCTTAAAAGGACCGTG